GCTAGAACACTAGTAAAGTAAACTAAGCTAATTTATTTAGTTAATATTTAGCATATTTTAACTTTCTGTGCAAAGTCATTATTATTACTGAAAAAAATTCCAAAGTCAGGTCAGTCTGTGGCACCCTCCACTGAACTTGACAGAAGGAAAATAAACTTGACCCATGACCTTCATTAAAACAGAATTTGCTTTTGTTTTTATTTTATTTTTAGTAGGCTTAAACATGTGCTTAATCTTACCCAATAAGTGATAAAAATTTGAATATTAATCTTAATTACTAATTACTGTTGTAAAGTGAGATAAACAGCTTAATAAACACGTGTTTTCTTGAGGGGGTGTGGCACATCGCAATTATAACTTAATGTTTCTGTGTTTTATGACTATATAAGTATATTTGTACACAATCAGGATGCTATGCTTTTAAAATTGATAAATGGTAAGTATACCAAGTTACAAAACCTGCAATCTAACTAATAATTCATACTTTCTGTTTAAAAAATAACAAAACGATCATCAATGAAGAAAGCATAAACATTCTATTTTTAGGTGTGGCATAAAAAAAACAGGCATAAATCTAGCCAAATGATTGGATTCTTGCGCAGCACACATTTTCCCGCGCCTCGTTTTCACTAAACAAGATTATAATAAAATGTCATTATTGGGGGGTGATCGTATGCCCACGCACATATCTCATTAACACAATAAATTATTACCATTTAATTGTAATGTGTGTAAAATTAATACTTTAGAGTTTACATCTGACATAAGCTGGTTTACGCCGTGAAACGATATTTCAGGGTTATTTGATTTAAAAGACAAGAATTCATAGAGCTATTTTCACTTACACGTAGCTTGCGAGATAAACAGAGAAATTAGCTCAAAAGTACATCTGGGAATTCTTAAATAACAGACTGAAATAGAAACGGATAGTTCCGATGTCTAAAATTAACGATGGCCTCGTAATTATTAGTTTTATACCTCTATCGTTTAGTGAAAGCGAAACTGGTCGCCATTTTTAGTAAGCGCATGAGCCGTGGGATGCCACAAAAATGACAAACCCGGAAGCGTTGAACCGAACGGCCTAACCCTAGGCCTATTAAGAATATTATTTTGTTATGGCTTTAATACAAGTAGGGCCTATAGTATATTATATAATATATATTTTTGTGTCAAATATAATAGATAATTGTCTAATAAACCAAATGCAATGTCTAAATATATCAATAAAGGCCAGAAATTGACTTTAAACAGCCTTGGTTGCGAGCAAGATTTGCTATATAATATATTATAATATATTAGGAATGTTGGGATATTTTTCCTAATTATCATAGAATGATAAAATGTACACAGATTAATCCTATAATATACCCCATTGATAAAAATACCAAATTTATCATTCTAGGCCTAATAGTTTTTTTAATATGAATTTTTAAAGTTATGCATTAAACTTGTTATATATCACTGTAACATCGGATTGAATTGTGTGATTGGCTTTAGGCTTGCATACCACTGCTGCTATTTGAGATATAATTATAAAACTTTGCACATTATTGCTAGAGAGTGTGGGCAATAGAAATATGAAAGTAAAATCATAATTTGATGAAGGATAATTAGAACTAATCAAGTCAAATTAAAGTGAGGGGTGCTGTTCTATATAGGTCAATATGCAGACTGAAAGTCTGTTTTTTTTTTAAATATTAAAATTGTTGCTAGAGGGTGGGGGGCAATAGAAATATAGAAAAAATTAGATTAAGTATGACTGCATGTAATTAAAAAGTCCTATGAAAGGGTGTTGCACCCTTTAGAGTAATTATAGTGACTGCAACAGACGTATGTCCAGAATGTTATTGTAATAGATAGGATAAATTTGGCCCTATTGATATTTTGGTACAACTAATCAATAGAAAAACCTTAAATTCTTGTAAAAGTTTATTAAGCTAAGTGTTAAGTTGTACCACATCAGAAGTTACAGCTTCCCTGTCTATCTGCTGATATAGATATATTGGCAATATGCTGTGATTTAAATCCGTATTGTTTGTTATTTGTTTTTTGTTACTTTTTATTATTAAATGTAAAAATTGTATCCTAAATTATTATGAATAATAATTATCATGCCTTTTTGCGTGTCATTCTAAATTCACTGCCTTGTTAATTAGTACCCCCCCCCCCCCATGTCAATTGCTGCGCCTTTTGTTTATTTTTTACTAATGGCATAGGCATAATTATTACAAATAGTTAAATAAGTTTATCACCAAGCTTCTTTACTTATCATAACCAATAATTGGCCCAGACTTACTTTATCAATCGATACATATTTATCATATAGCATTAGTTATACTAAGAAATAGGCCTATAACTTTATAATTTATTATAATTAAGTATAAGTCTTAAATCTAATTACATATGTGTGAAATGCTTGACACTAGTTAATGTAAGCCTAAGCTTCTTGCCTGTCGTTTGAAAAGATAACTTGATCAATGTATTTTATCTAGTTTTAACAGTGCCACCCACAATTTAAATTCTTTCCAACTTCGAAAACTACGCCATTGGCATTAGTGCGCGTATTTTATTGATAATAGGTAATGCAGTGCTAAACCGACGCCATGGCGTTGTCAAGGCCGAAGCACTAGCTCGGGGATTTGACATGTATGATAACTCGTAAACAGAAGTAGTAAATGCCATAAAACCGTTATTATAATAATATTTATTAAATGGACACTTAAAACTAATGGCAAGACACTTATAATGTGTTTAATATGTAAATTTATTTAAAATGTGACAGCACCGTACAGGACATGTTCGCGAGATAAACACATTAGAATCGTGAGATCAATTTTGGCTTTAAGGTTGTCATAATGGCGGTAATTTTCTAATTGAAACATATAATACGACTACACTAGAATATCTGTATCGAATATTTCTAAAAACTCGATTCCAACAGTGAGATTCTGCATTCTTCGGAAAATGGCAAGTTTTTATAAAGACTGCTCTCAAAAAGTCCGGATGTGAAATACCGAATCGAAACAGCGGAAGTCGGAATGCCTATATATATATATAAAGAGGCCATATGCAAATAAGAGTGGTTTCCCCTGAATTTCTAGCAAAAATCATAAAATGTTACCAAAAAACTTAAACAAGATGGCTTCTAAAGTAAATTATCTTGGTTGCATCTGATGAAAACATCGCTAAGCTTTATTTATTACTGAAAAGTTTTAATACAATTGTTTATAAACAGGTACATGAATGAAGGGTTGAAACATTTCTGTAACTTTTACTACTTAAATCTTTCTAAAAATGTGAAATAATTACAAAAATTTGATGAGTCACCCATTTTTCACATTACTAGCCTCGGCCGATTTTACGTACCTAAATAATAGATTACCAAACATAGATCTACTAGAATCTGGACCAATTTTCAAGGGGCAAGGCATAGCCACACAAATTTTTAAATTAAATTTATAATTAATAAATTAAGCAACGCAACTCTCGAATTCACACACTGAACAAAACAACTGTCAACTGAGTCTAAAAATGGAGGAGTGCCTGAGTCCACTGCTAGTAGGTCTAGTGCTAGGCCACTAGAAACTCTAGTCAAGTGACTAGTCATAGTACTTATATATATATATATATATATATATATATATATATATATATATATATATATATATATATATAGTGACTCTCTAGTGTAGTTATTCGAGCTAGTAGCTAGTGCTGCAAACTGGCACTGCTGCTAGCTACTGTCCTGTAAGTGAGAATTTCACTATGCTATTAATTATTATGTATGTTAGTTGAGTATGTGATGTTAGTGGATGAGTTTGACAAAAGGCCTTCCATCATTAAAAATTAATTAAACTATTGTTGACCTGAGATAAAATAAAAAATGAAGTGACTAGAGATAAAATAAAAAATGAAGTGACTAGTCGGAAAAAGCTTTTGCCCTCTAGCCTAGGCTGGTTGTCAGAAGACGCAAAAAATGCAATGACCTAAAAAGGCTAAACATGGGCTGAAATTACCCTTAAGAGCTGTGCAGTGGGTTTAAACTACCCTAAGTAGCTGTGCAATGGGCTCATATTACTCTTCTAACCTTATTCTTCTAACAAAACTAACTGTATCATGTGGTTGAGCATTTACGCTTTAGGTGGATCATCAGGGGGATAGAATTTAGTTTATCTAGAACTAGTAAAGAGATCTACCGATCTAGTCTGTAACTAAGTAAAGTATATCTCTTTAAAAAAATATTTTTAATAGCATATTTAATATTCCAATCTGCTAGGCCTAATTTTTATCATGTTAGTTCCTTCAGGACAACTCATAGGCCTGAACAATGAACATTTAGATGACCAAAAAAAAACCAGATCACTGTAGCGCTGTTTTGTAACTATGCGCATGCACATTTTCTTCTAGCTAGAATCTGCCATTTTTTATACCAGTGTCAAATAATAGAATGTTCTTAATTATAATAAAGGGGTGGTAGCCTAGTTTAGTAGTTAACTAGTTTTCAGAGACAACTAAAATGCATACATCCTACCATACACCTAACTCTAATTTATAAAGGTTTTGTTAGGGATAGGATTAACTGTCAGTAAATGATTAACCTAACACTTGGCCTAACACTCTTTTTTAGAAAGAAGAATTATTTAGCCATTTTTATTATATCCAAAATAGGACCCTAATGGAAAACTATGAATAAAGCACTTTTGTTATGAATGATGAGATCACAGCACCAACCTAGAGGCCAGGCAGTGGACTAAATAGTTTACTCTTCAGTTGTCATAACGCTGAGAATAACTAGTAGTGTGTGACTACTCTTAATATTAATGACACAAAAAGCCTCCATTGTAGTGGTCTTCGACATAGGTGTTATGTTAGGCTTATTGTGAAAAGAATATGCATAGCCGCATAAGTCAACATTCATGTTTTTGAAGAACATTTTTATTTATGTTTCTTGATTATTTCTAGAAATATTATTTTCAAAAAAACTATTTAATTATTTAGTTATGGAGCTTAAAGATAGAAAAAAAAGAGAAGCTGATATAGAAGTATTAACAAGTGTTTTAGAGATCAAGCAAGAACTTCATGTGGACAACCAGCCAGAAATTTTGAATATAATTCCAGCTGAATACATAAAACAAGAGGAGTTTACAGAAATTAATGATACAAAAGCAAATGTATTGTCAACATGTGAAAACAAAAATCATGATTTATTATCAGAATTTACAACACATGTAGATAATAAACCAGATAGACTTGATTTATTTTCAGTTTTTGAAGATATAAAACCTGCTGGTTTGAATGCAGGTTTAAATCTATCACTAGAGACAACCCTAACTGACAATATTTCTCATATAAAGACAGAGATATCAACTGATTTATCAGAGCTTAAGAATATTCAGATAAACAACAATGAAAATCCAACATCAAATCAGGTTGTATTTTTACAGAGGTGTAAGACAAAAAACTTAAAATCTTCAAAGCATAAAACTCTTCTAGTAAAATGTAAAGAATCACACACAGATGTGAGGTCATATGAGTGTAATTTGTGTCATAAAAAGTTTGCTACAAGAAGTAAACGAAATCAACATAAACCTATTCATTCAGGAGGGAGGCTATGTGGGTGTTATCTGTGTAATCAAAGGTTTCCCTTAACTAGTAAACTCAACCAAAATGGACAATTTCACCAAATAGTGAGAGCACAAAAGAGTGACGTGAACCATAAAATGTTAGGTTCAAAGAGGAATCTAAATCAACATAAAGCAATTCATTCAGGAGAGAGGCTGCATAAGTGTGATATTTGTCATATAAAGTTTACTAGAAGAACTAACCTAAATAAACATAAAGCTACACATTCAGCAGATAAGTCACATGACTTTAATATGTGTAATAAAAAGTTTGCTACTAGGACATATCTAAAACAACATAAAGCACTTCATTTAGGAGCAAGGTTAGAAGAATGTGAAGTCTGTCATAAAAAATTTACTACAAGAGGTAATCTAAATCAACATATAGCTATACATTCAGTGGAAAAGTCACAAAAGTGTGATGTATGTCATAAAAAATTTGCTTCAAAGAGGAATCTAAATCAACATAAAGCAGTTCATTCAGCAGAAAAGTCACATGAATGTCATGTATGTCATAAATTATTTACTTCAAAGACTCATCTAAATAAACATACAGCAATTCATTCAGAAGAAAAGCTTCATGAATGTGATGTGTGTCATAAAAAGTTTTCTAGAAAGTCTTACCTAATGGAACACAGAGCAATTCATTCAACGGAAAAGAAACATGAGTGTGATGTATGTAATAAAAAATTTGCAACAAGGACTAACCTAAATCACCATAAAGCTATTCATTCAGAAGAGTGGCTATATGAATGTGATATGTGTCATAAAAGGTTTTCTAGAAAGGCGTACTTAATGGAACACATAGCAATTCATTCAACAGAAAAGTCTCATGAGTGTGATGTATGTCATAAAAAATTTGCTTCAAAGAGGAATCTAAATAAACACAAAGCAATTCATTCAGGTAAGGGGCTACATGAATGTGATGTGTGTTGTAAAAAGTTTTCTCGAAAGTCCTACCTTAAGCTACATAAATTAATTCATTCCACTGAAAGTTTACAAGAGTGTGATGTATGTCATAAAAAATTTGTTTCAAAGAGTCATCTAAATCAACATAAAGCAATTCATTCAGCACAAAAGTTATATGAGTGTGATGTCTGTCATAAAAAGTTTACCACCAAGGGTAACCGAAATCTACATAAAACAGTTCATTCAGATGAAAAGCTACATGAATGTGATGTGTGTCATAAAAGGTTTTCTAGAAAGTCTTACCTAATGGAACACAGAGCAATTCATTCAGCAGAAAAGTCTCATGAGTGTGATGTTTGTCATAAAAAATTTGCAAAAAGGACTTACCTAAATCAACATGTAGCTATTCATTCAGTAGAGAGGCTACATGAATGTGATGTATGTCGTAAAAAGTTTTATCGAAAGTCCTACCTAAAGCTACATAAATTAATTCATTCCACTGAAAAGTTACAAGAGTGTGAAGTATGTCATAAAAAATTTGTTTCAAAGAGTCATCTAAATCACCATAAAGCAATTCATTCAGGAGAAAGTGTACATGAATGTGATATGTGTCATAAAAAGTTAACTACCAGTTATACTCTAATAAAACATAAAGCAATTCATTCAGCACAAAATTTATATGAGTGTGATGTCTGTCATAAAAAGTTTACCACCAAGGGTAACCGAAATCTACATAAAACAGTTCATTCAGAAGAAAAGCTACATGAATGTGATGTGTGTCATAAAAGGTTTTCTAGAATGTCGTACCTAATGGAACACAGAGCAATTCATTCAGCAGAAAAGTCTCATGAGTGTGATGTTTGTCATAAAAAATTTGCAAAAAGGACTTACCTAAATCAACATGTAGCTATTCATTCAGTAGAGAGGCTACATGAATGTGATGTGTGTTGTAAAAAGTTTTCTAGAAAGTCCTACCTAAAGCTGCATAAATTAATTCATTCCACTGAAAGTTTAAAAGAGTGTGATATATGTCATAAAAAATTTGCTTCAAAGAGGAATCTAAATCAACATAAAGCTATTCATTCAGGAGAGGGGCTCCATGAATGTGATGTTTGTCATAAAAAGTTTACCACCAGTGGTAACCTAAATCAACATAAAGCTGTTCATTCAGAAGAGTGGCTACATGAATGTGATGTTTGTCATAAAAAGTTTACCACCAGTGGTAACCTAAATCACCATAAAGCTGTTCATTCAGAAGAGAAGCTACATGAATGTGATGTGTGTCGTAAAAAATTTTCTAGAACGTCATACCTAAAGCAACATAAATTAATTCATTCCACTGAAAAGTTACAGGAGTGTGATGTATGTCATAAAAAATTTGTCTCAAAGAGTCATCTAAATCAACATAAAGCTATACATACAGGAGAGAGGAAACATGAATGTGATGTGTGCCATAAAAAGTTTATTACCAGTTCTACTCTAATTAAACATAAAGCAATTCATTCAGCACGAAAGTTATATGAGTGTGATGTTTGTCATAAAAAGTTTACAACCAAGGGTAACCTAAATAAACATAATTCAATCCATGCAGCACGAAAGTCATATGATTGTGATGTGTGTCATAAAAAATTTACCACCATGAGTAACCTAAATAAACATAAAACAATTCATTCAGCACAAAAGGTAACTTGAGTGTTATGTGTATCATAGAAAGTTTGCTACAAGGATTTTCCAAAAATCAACATGAAGCTATTATGGAAAAGCACCATATAAGTGTGATGTGCGTCATCAAGGGTTTTCTTAAAATAAAAACTAAATTGACATAAACTCATGGCATCACATGAGTGATTTGTGCTATTAAAAGTTTGCTACAAGGATTAATCTTTATCAACACAAAGAAAGTTATACAGCATTTGTGATTTGTGTAATAGATAGTTTCTGTTGATAATTGATTCAGAAGTAGTTCAAATTAAACATATAAATATATATATATATATATATATATATATATATATATATATATATATATATATATATATATATATATATATATATATATATATGAAATTATTTAGATTTGTGTATATTAATTCACAAAAAAAGACAATTTATTGTGTTGGTGTGTAATTACCCAGTGTGTGTAATTACTACATTATACATATTACCCTACCTGTTTTATGTTTGCTTAAAAATGTTCAACACATACTTCGACTACTTCAATATTAAGTTCAACATGTAGATGAGGTCAATTTTTTTGTCTCTCCCCCCCCCCCCCCACCCCCACCCCTTGTGCTGACTTCATACATGGATGACCCCTTTAGTGACAACATGAGTATAACAAGCAAATTATTCAAGAGAGAGGTCAAATTTATTTTCTTAATGTGTTAACACAAATCTTGATTTCTTAATGAGATCTTAAACTTGAAATAAATTAACACAAAAAAAAACAGATAAACAATGCTTTTTATCCATTTGAAAATATAAAATTTGATGTTTTAAAGCAGAGGAAATCTTTTCCTTAGAGAAAACTGTAATTGACATTTTTTTTCCAAAAAAAAAAAAGACTGCTGTGTGTCTTAGCAAGTTTACTTAAAGTTATGTCCAAAAAAAATCATAATTTTTTTTGTTCTTCACAATGTCCATTTGAAAAAGATTCCTTCTTATTACTATTAGTATTAGTAAATTAATTAGTGAAATTTTTGCATAATCTGTGTGTGTAGTTATGAATATCATCCATGTTGAGCATGATTTCATTTTTGCAATTAATTTAAATTAAATCTAGATTGTAGACCATTTGTTTTCTACTTCCTTTGATAATCTTGTTAAAACTTCATTAAAATCAAAACTTTTTTTCATAATAAAGTGTAATTGTTTTTTCCTGAAAAGTTGGTAATTTTGTATCTGTTTGTACTGCAAGAGAGCAGAGGCGTAGGTCGGGCACCCGACATGAAGTTTCAATTTTGTGACCACCTCCCATTTATATTATATTTATTCATGTTAAAAAAAAAACGTCCTTACCCCGTTGAAAAGGTTGGTGGCGCTTTTTTACCAGTCACTAGCTTTTGCTTTGTTACCACTTTGACTGTGTATAATAATTCAATACTTTAGCTTAAAATGAGCTTTTAAATATTTTTTTTACCTCTTTTGGCACCGCCTTAGTGAAGGCGCTCGGGACAGCCGCTGCAAGAGAGAGTGAGCCTTAATATATTATACTGTTGATGTAACTGATATATAACTTTTAAAAATAATGTTTGAATATTTTAAAATTTCAAATAAATCTATATATCGATATAACACTTTGGAGAGTTGATTAGAACACTCCAGGAAAGGGTTCTGATAAATCTTAAATAATCTTAATTCGTAAAGGCAGCGCCACGGGATGGTGCGATTTTTCTCGATATACAGTATATAAAAATTATAGTCGAATGCGATCTAACACCGTTCATCCGAGTGCTATGAAACTTTGGGGAGCTGATAAGAACACTCCAAGGGAGGTTTCTGTAAAACAATATATTTTTTTTTCGCAAGGTCGGCGCCATAGGAGAGTGCAATTTTTCTTTATATACGGTATATGGAAATAAAAGTCGATTGCAGTTTTACACCGTTCACCCGATCGCCGTTAAGGATGCGATTTTGGCGTCCTGGTCTTTCCCATGAGCGCTATGGCGACTACGTTCGGTCTAAACAGTGTGATAGACAATGGATAAGATGGGGCGTTATAGTCGCTCACTAAATTGAATCCGTGGCCCTGGTAGGGTGCAATTTGGCTGCGAAGACAAATTTCAGTTTTGGCCCCCAAATGCTCAGATGGCCCGCAGAGGGCTATGTAATACGTTTTACTTTAATAATCAGAAAAATTAACCAAGTTTAGACTATTATATGGGATGTTTCTTTTAGTCCGTAAAAAAAACCCATACAGTTTTGTCACTTTGCGAATGATGCAATTAGCATCTATTTTTAGACGATCCAATCAGAAATTGACATCGAGCATCTAATAATAGACCATTAGAAACGCTAACATATTGCATCAGTCACACTGATGTTTAAAACGTCAAATAATTTTTTTTCGTGTTAAAGAAAAAAATCCTGTTCATTTGTGTCACATTGTTAACAGGACGCTACTATTCGGCACTCTGGGTTATCCTATGAACATTATGGCGCCTATGTTAGTTTTAAGTAGCCAGGGACCGTACGCGGTACCTCTGCGGTAGTGTAACTGAGGGCTCCCGAGAGCGCCCCTCTACATCCTTGACACATGGGTGGTCACCGAAGTGTGTTTTACCGCATTTTTTCGCTGAGTGCTTAACGTACACTCAAGGTTTTCACGCGGTAGTATAGGTAAACCAGTGTCCCGATATTTATGATCCAAGCGCAGGCATTGTTTACATTCAAATAACTCAGTTTTAGAAAACAAGATCACTTGTCTTAAGAACATAAGATTGGTAACTCGTTGATGAAACCCATCTTACATTATCCGTCAGACTTACTTCAATAGGCCATGTCGCTGATAGAAGCCTTCAATGATTTGCAGCTTAATGAATACATATACCAACAACAGAAAATTCAAATAATAGCGTCTAATTAGAAGAGGTTCCCACACCCCCCAGAAATATAAAGTGCCCTCCCCCCAAACAGGAGAAAAAAGTCTGAAAGAAACACTGCTAATTAGATTTAGTAGGCTACCACAGGGTGTTGCTGTGGCGATGTTAATAAAAACTAGTTTGCACAGATATATTTTATAACAAAAATTCACAATGTTACTGAATTTAAAAAGTCTCATTATTTTAATTATTAAAATATTAGGCCTAATTAATCTTTAAAATTTAATGTTAAAGGTTAGTGTAAGTAAATGTTAGGTCATACCAAGGGTGAGCAAAGTGCGGCCCACGGGCCAGAGTTTTTTGTGGCCCGCCAGACATTTAGAAACCCTGCCTTGAACTGAGATTTGCTTCATGTCCGCTACCAAATTAAGTGAAGCCATGAATCCTCAGAAAAAGCAAAACATTGGTGATGAATCCCTGTGTGTTTAATGAAGAATATGCACACAAAAATGTGGGTATAGTTAAGCTTTAAAAAAAAACAAAGTTTCAAGCATAAGACGCAGACAGTGATGTCATTTCATTGCATTTTGCATTAGGAAAGCATGTGTAAAGCTGCACTTGACTTAACGCATGTGATAGAACCTGTTGTAAGCGTGGTTAACCTGCTTTTAAACAATTGTATTAAATGCAACCAAGCTCATTTACTTAGGCAACCATCTTGTTTAAGTTGGTTTTTTTTTTGGTAAAAATATAGTAAGAGATTCAGGTGAAACCACTCTAACTTACAGATGGCCGCTTTTTATATAGTAAATGTTGCTCGCAAACACTGCTGTTCAGTTATCTATAATATTTGACTCAAATATCACACTTTACTTCTTTTTAAGCCTTAACAATGAGTCGTTTTTGCACATTATTAGCCTCAGCCAATTTTACACACCTAAAACGATAGATTACCTATTTTTTTTTCCAGCACCATCTATTGATTTGTTTTTTTTTATTGTTTTTTTTTTAAGGATTTGTCCCTGACTTGATAATTGATGGTAATTTATTGTTGAATTATGTTAAATCTTGCATAGATTTTAGTACTTTTAAAAAAAATAATATTATTAGCCTAGTAGGAATAGTAGGCCCTAATATTAGATTCTGCGATAATCTATCGCCAATAGATACAAGGCTTGTAATGTGAAAAGAAGGTGCCTAATTAAATGTTGGTAATTATTTCACATTTTTAGGAGGATGTATGTTTTGAAAATTACAAAAATGTTTCCAATTTCCATTATGTACCTGTTTTTAAACAATTGTATTACAACTTTTCAGTAATAAATATAGACTAGCAATGTTTTCATCAGATGCAACTAAAACTCGTTTACTTTGACAGCCATCTTGTTTCAGTTTTTTTTTTGTTAAACCACTCTAGTTTACAGATGGCCGCTGTCTATAGCAAATCTCTCTCGCAAACACTGCTGTTTTACACAAGCTTTTATTTAACTTACTGTCTCTGTCTGTAAGTTGTCAGTCTGTCTAGATCAAAACGCCCGAGGGAAATTACGGGCACTTCTAACTGACAGATACGGTTCGTAGTTGGTACCTGGGTTTAAGAAGACAATTCAACATACATTAAATTTGACTTAATTGGTTGCCTAATTACTTTTTTATGAATGAATTAAAATCATGTCCAAATTAGTAGGCTGTCTCATCAAACTAATCCACACTATTATACACGTGTCATCATATTCATTAGGTGCGCAATGGTTTTTAGTTATGCAACTCTATTATAAATTTTAAAAATTTAATGTACTGAAAAAGAAATTCATAAAAACGTTTTAATAACAAGCTTTTATGTAATAATGCACTAAAAAGTAGAAAATAAATTATACACTACTATTTAAATAACTATAAAGAAAAGCGTGGATCACTTTAGTATATATTGGATACCTTTACTGATATTTAGGAAGAAACCCACGCTTTTTTAAAATAGTTATTTAAATAGTATTGTATAGGGGTCAGCGTGGTCGAGTCGGTAAAGCTCATGGTTGCTAAACCGAAAAGTCCCTAGTTCGAACCCTCGGGCAGATGAGTCTCGTTAGCTGGGGACTGCCGTTCTTCTAGGAGAGACAACTCCAAATTCAAACTACTGCTGTCTTGTAGTTTGTTCTTAGTTGGACAAAGGCTATGGAAGCAAATCCAAAACAGAAAGGCAGGCTGAAATCGGAGTCAACGGCCTATATGGCGCATAACCTGTTGACACGTATCCTTAATTGTGATGGAGGCGTGGTCGAGTCGGCAAAATCTCATGGTTGATAAATTCGAGTTGCAGTTCAAACCCTCTGGTAGATAAGGCTCGATACCCTCCAACACTAAAAATTAAGAACGAACAAGAAGAAGAAGTAGTGTATAATTTTTTAACTTACTGTCTCTGTCTGTCGTCAGTTAGATCGAAACGGCAGAGCAAAAATTTCGAGCACTTCTGACTGACAGATTCGGTTCAAAGTTGGCACGTGGGTCAAGACATGAAGACAATGCAATCTGACATTAAATTTGACTTATTGGATGTATAATTAATTTTTTATGAATTGATTAAAATTGTGTCCAAATTAGTAGGCAGTCTCTTCCAGCTATTCCGCACTAATATACACGCAGTCATGCAACTCTATTGCATTAAAAAAAAATCTGTCTTATATTGATATATTTAACCATTGTTTTTGGTTTATTATTCAGTTATCTATCATATTGGAGAAATATGCATTCCAAACAACAGCTGTCAATGAAAGAAACAATGTTTGCATGACATTCCTAGTCCAGTCCATGTATTTCATTAATTAATTGGTAATGTAACCTTAGGCCCAAGGCTAATATCAACTTTAATGTATCACGCCCTTTAAATCTTAATAATAGAAACATTAACATAAATATATCAAGGAAGACCAATAAAAGTAATATTAATGTAAATTAAACTATCATAATTAAAAAACCACTACATAGTATAAACAGACGTACATTTTTATGTCAGGCAATTGAGTGTTATTTTTGTTAATGATGTTGTACAGCTACATTTGCTTTGATAACCAAAACAAATATTTAAGAAATACAGTACAAAGAAAATGAATTAGGCATAAAACCAAAAATTGGAATAATTAAGTATGATAAAATGTGTCCAATAATTTTTTGTTCTATTTTCTACTATCCCAAATCTCTTAACCACAGCGACCTATGACTTCAAGGTATTTAAGATTTTGTAGCAACGTTGTTTCTGTATTTATATAGCTTTATACATTTGTATCATTATATCTCCTTTAATCTGGTATTTGTAATTATTTTGACATGTTGTTGCATGTATATGTTAAAGCTTAATTTGAAAAACAACTAACCCTATCATTAACTGCTTATGTCAGCATACATATTTCTGAAAAAAAAAGTATTATTTTTGTAAAAGTAAAGTTCCCTTTCAAACCTGATTATCTATGGGCATGTGAAGTAGAGTTCATCTGTTTCTGTAACCTCTGCATATGAAGGGATAGTTGGGTCAGCACTATGCCCAGCCACCTTTACTTTCCCTAACATGAGTTAGGTACCCATAAGAGCTGAGTGTACTCAGGGACGTTCTACTAACTTGAACCTGAATTCGAACTTGAGACTTTCTGGTTAGCAGTCTAACTCTCTACCACTAGGCCACCCTGTCCCATATTTATTATTGTCTAGAGATATTATTTCATTTTTTTTTTAAATCATTCTTTCAGCTAAAGAAATGGAAGAAAGAGCAGCTGATTTAAAAGAATTACCAAGTATTTTAGGAGTGAAACATGAACAATCTGAGAAAACCAATGCATATATTGCCAATGTAATTTCAACTGGAAACATAAACCCAGAGGGATTTACAGAATGTTCATCTTTTTATGACACAAAACCACATTTATTTTCCACATCTGAAAACAAAAATCCTGATGTACTATCAGAATTTAAAACAAGTGAAGACCAAAAATCTTTTGAAGATGTAAAACCTGATGTTTTAAAAGTAGAAGTAAACTTTTTGCCAGTGGCAAATCTAAATGAAAATCTTTCTCACATAAAGACAGAGATATTAAATAATATAGAAGAGGTCAAGGATACGTTTATAAACATGGATAATTCAATATTTGATCAGTCAGAGTTGTTACAGAAATGTAACAATCAAAACTTAACTATTTTAAAGCATAGAAGTCTTCTAGTAAAATGTGAAGAAACACACACAGATGTAAGATTAAATGAGCATGATCTATGCGATAAAATTTTTTCTAGAAGTGCTCATTTGAAAAGAAATAATTTAACTCATTCTGAAGAGAAGTCACATGACTGTGATGTGTGTCATAAAAAGTTTACAAGAAGGTATGCTCTAAAAGAACATCAAGTTATTCATTCAGGAGAAAAGCTACATGAGTGTGATGTGTGTCATAAAAGGTTTGCAAGAAAGTTTAGACTAACCAAACATAAAACAATTCATTCAGCAGAAAATGCACATGAGTGTGATGTATGTCATAAAAAATTTGCAACAAGGACTCGCCTATATCACCATGAAGCTAATCATTCAGAAGAGTTGCTATATGAATGTGATGTGTGCCATAAAAAATTAGTTACCAGTTCTTCTCTAATTAAACATAAAGCTATTCATTCAGCACGAAAGTCATATGACTGTGATGTGTGCCATAAAAAGTTTACTGCCAGTTCTTCTCTAATTAGACATAAAGTAATTCATTCTGCTTTTAAGTCACATAAGCCATAAAAGGTTTTCTAGAAAGTCGAACATACAGATACATAAAGAAATTCATTCAGTGGAAAAGCCTCATGAGTGTGATGTTTGTCATAAAAAATTTACATAAAGCTATTCATACAGGAGAGAGGAACCATGAATGTGATGTGTGCCATAAAAAGTTTATTACCAGTTCTTCTTTAATCAAACATAAAGCAATTCAATATGAAAGTTATATAAGTGTGATGTCTGTCATAAAAAGCTGACTACCAAGAGTAACCTAAAGCAACATAAAACAATTCATTCAGCACAAAAGGTTACTTGAGTGTTATGTGTGTCATAGAAAGTTTGTTACAAGGATTTTCCAAAAATCAACATGAAGCTATTCATTATGGAAAAGTACCATATAAGTGTGATGTGCGTCATCAAGGGTTTTCTTAAAATAAAAAATTAAATCTACATAAAAAATGCATGTCATTGCATGAGTGAATTATGCTATTAAAAGGAGTAAACTTTATCAACACAAAGCAAGTTATACAGCACAGGTGGCATGAGTATAATTTGTGGCATAAAAAGTTTCGTTTGATAATGACTCTAAAATGCCACCAATTAATTGATTCAGAAGTAGGTCAAATTAAACTTTTGTAAATAAAATAAAGTTTGTATGAACAAATTCATTCATTCATAGATTAAATTATGTTTCTATAGTGTAAATTTCTGTAAGCGGTCATCCATTTATGACGTCCACTAAAATGTTATCCACTTATGTTGAACCACTCCGCTCCCCCCCCCTTCCCCATGGACGACCACAACTTTGTAGATCTTGCAAAACAATAATACCAATTTACTATTTCAATAATATGTATTGTATACCTAAAAACTGATTTATATATATAGGAAATATTTTAGATCTGTGTAAATTAATTCTTAAATGGATGACCCCTAAGCAACAGAGACAACATGAGTATAAAGTGTTTCATAATAGTTTGCTTTTATCAAGCAAACTATTCAAGAGAGAGGCCAAATTTGTGTTCTTTTTGTAAAAAACAGTCTTGATTTCTTTATGAGACCTTAAACTTGAAATAAATTAAAACAAAAAACCCACAGATAAACAATATATTTATCCATTTGAAAATATAAAACTTGTTGTTTGAAAGCAGAAATCTTTTCCTTACAGAAAACTGTAAATGGCGTTTTCTTTTAAAAAAAAAAGACTGCTGTGTATCTAAGCAAAGTTTACTTAAAAAGAGAGGTCATAATCTATTTCATTTTTTTTTTGTGCTTCACCATGTCCATTTGAAAAATATTCCTTCTTATTACTTTTAGTGAAAATGTTAGTGAAATTTGCATGATCTGTGTGTAATATATATTTATGATGTTGTGAATGATTTCATTTTTGCAATTAATTTAAATTAAATCTAGATTTTTGTTTTCTACTTCCTTTTAATAATCTTGTTAAAACTGGAATCCGGACAAAAGGCCGACATGAACAAAAGGCCGACATGGACAAAAGGCCGACATGGACAAAAGGCCGACAAGTTTTATAAAACAACAAACTACAATTACGCACTTGTTTAATTTTTATTGAAAACCAGTTACATAATGATAAAGGTATATTATAAAATAGAAAAAATAGGGCCTAGTATGTCAAATTGTATGCTATGCCACGTAAAAATTCAAGTGTAGTTGAAAAAAATATGAACAAATCCAAGGGCACAAATATAATCTACGCTATAAAAACTGAATTTTTTAAAACATTGTGCATCCAGGTGCAGTTCGCGCCCCCGCCCCATGATGTAACTGTACCAATACCCCAGAGAATTTTAACAAGTAATGTTATAAGCTGTTGCTAATGTAGTAAAAGACATCACTACCAATTGATTTCAGTTTTTAAAAAGTTTGTTGACTAGACTGCACTGTAGTTACTTTGTTACATTTTGTCTAATGTCATGTGTCAACTTGCCCCACCTACATATATAAATATAACATATTTTCTGTTTATACAACATGTAGGCATACTTGTATTTTGTTTATTAATATCAAATGTTTCTTTTTAACACTAACAAAAAACAAATAAAAAAACTTACCAATTTCGGCACACTTGTATCAAAATCACAACAGAATTAATGGATCCAACGAATATAGAATACACTTTTTTCACGCAATTCGCAATGGACGAAACTAAAATATAATTCAACGCTTTGTCGGTATTTAACATGTAGTTCAGTCAAAGCACGTGATCGTTCTACTTTATTTGGTTTCTTTGAGAAATATGGTGGTAACACCACCTTTCTGGTTATCCTTTGTACACTCCCGTCATCTCCAGTCGCATGGACCCCATTGTTCACCTTGTTCGCAACTAGAATGGTCTCTTGGCGTTCTACCTTGTTGCATGTGGGCGATGATGCGACGGCTTTTGGCTTGGTTCTTTGATGATAGTCTCACCTCGTTGACATAGAAGGAGCTATGAAAAACAGCAGTGACCGCATTTCGCAAAAATTAGGTGTTGATCCTTTGTGTTTAAGACACTCACGTAATCTTCAGTCGCTTGGATCGGATGGTTCACCTTATATGGGTAGCAACTAGAATAGTCTCTTCTCTTGAACGTTTCACCTTATTTCTTGCCGTATTTTGATGGTTGTCAAGATAGCAGCTATGCAGTAACATATATTTTGCGATATTAGTATTTTTTTTATACTTTTCTGCCTTATGGCTGTCGGCCTTATGTCCTGTCGGCCTTATGTCTTGTCTGCCTTTTGGCTGTCGGCCTTTTGTCCTACACCCGTTTAAACTTCATTAAAATTAAAACTTTTTACATAATAAAGTTTGTTTTTTTTCCTGAAAAGCTGGTAATTTTGTATCTGTTTGTACTGCAAGAGAGCTGAGGTGTAGCGACCCATATCAGGCACCCGACATGAAGTTTCAATTTTGTGACCACCTCCCATTTATATTGTATTTATTCATGTTAGTGCAAAAAACACTCTTCCACAATTGAACATTTTGGCGGCGCTTTTTAACCAGTCACTAGTTTTTGCTTTGGTGCCACACTTTGACTGTGAATAATAATTTAATACTTTAGGTTGAAATGAGCTTTTAAATATTTTTTACCTCTTTTGGCACCCCCTTAGTGATGGCGCTCTACCCGCCCTCCCCTAGCTATACCACTGAGTGAGACTTAGCTTTAATATTAATCTGATATAACTTTTGAAAATAGTGTTTAAATATTATTTTAATAATAAATATTCCAAATAATTAATTAATATTTCGTTACTGTAAAAGACATGTCCGCAAACTTGATATTCACAATCTTAGAATCATGAGCTAATAACAAACAATATTAGTTCAATGGGTTTCTTTTCTGAGTGATATCGGTTATTTATTCCTTAATCCGATGTGAATTTTTCCGATTTTAGTCTTCAATAATCTAGAATTAGGAGAGAGTGCGTGTGTGAGTTGAATTTACCCTAGAGTCTTGTTAACCCCGGTGTGTTCATGTATAGTTATCCTAAGGTCGAATGCGGTATAAAAGCTGGAGTGAATGATTGTTAGGGGTTAGTTGGTAGCGGTTAGGTCGAGGGCTACTCTGGAATGTGAATATTGGAGACCGAATAAAAGTATTGAACGTAAACACGAGTCGTTCTTGAGTTGAAACTAACCGCCGCAAACATATTTTGTATTGTTGCTTAGAAATGTGTGATGAGGTGAAGGGGGGGGGGATAGATGTTAAGACGTCACACTATAAAAAAGCAATGTTAGAAAAAGAATTTTAGACGTTATTTCGATTTTAGAAAACTGTTTTAATAAATTGTAATAGGAATTGATTAAAATACTCTAGACAGAGTTCAGACAAGATTTTGGAAAAATATCGATGTTTAAAAAAAAAATTCAACTGCAATTTTGAAGGGGGTTGTAGGCTGAGGTGTGACGTCATTTTAGTGGGGGGTGTCTGGTTTTTTGTGAAAATGTGTGACGGAGGGGGGGGGGGGTAAAATCGTCAAAAAAAGCGTGACGTCATTTATGAATGACCCCTTTTAGCTATTAAATGGTAGTTTTGGTAGCGGACTTTATTCAGATTATCTACAAACGCACATTTTTTTTCATTCTGTTCATATTCGTGTTCTGTGTTAGCACAGCATAAATGGGAGTCTAATGAACTGGGTTGGATGTACTATGTGTGAAAGATGGTGTGACGAGGTGTGTTTGAGTAGTGCTAGGACTGTTTCAGAAGATTTTGTTTGTAATTAAAATTACTTAATAAAAAAATAAATTACACTTTTTAGAATTGTTTATACTTTTACACTTTTTGCAAGTACAACAATCCATGAATACATGTTACAGAATATATCTGCTGCTGACAAGATTATATACCAATTCACAATGACACAGCTCACGTTTGTAAAAACATGAGCGGGCTAGATTTTTAAAATTAACTAGACTACCCGTTATCTAGTTAGATAACTGTGGGTTTCGGGGGTCATCCATAAATGACATCACGTCTGTCAGCACTTATCATCCCAAAATAACCAGACCCCACATTCAAAAAGGCGTTTTTAATATTTTAAAAACTCTACTAAACTCTACTTCACCTGCCCAGTGTCCCGCCAAGTCTCAGACATGTTTGACATTTAAAAAAAAAAAAGATTCCTGCCGAGCATGGCTCTGACCACACTATCCCTTCATATGCTGAGAATATAGAAACAGGTGAACTCTACTTCACCTGCCCTGTGCCCCGCGAGGTCCCGATTGTCAACCTTATCATTCACATGTAGGCCTTAAGAAAAAAATAATTGAAAACATTGTTGTAAAAATAAAATAAATCTTTTTCTATTACTAAAGTCATTGTTCTAAAATTTTATAATTAATGTGGTTAATCTACCTATGAATATATCAATAAATTAATTAACGGCTTTAAATTACTTTGTAATTAACAGTGTGTTTAAGAAAGAACAATATTTACCACCCAAAACCTATTTTACAGCTCTACACATAATGCATATTCTCCCCAATAACAAATCAAAAAACAAACAAACAAAATAATGAGTTATCAAACGTCACTATTCAGTCAAAGTTTAGCCATTGTTCTAAAACTTTAAAATTATTGTGGTTAATCTACCTATGAATAAATCAATAAATTAATTAATGTCTTTAAATAAATGTGTGATTAACAGTCTGTCTGCAATCAAAAATTATTCTCTACCTACATACTATTTTACAGCCCCCCATATAGAGCAGTTTCCTTACAGTACCAAATCAGACAAACAAACAAATAAATATTCAAACATGTAAACAAACTTGAGTTTTAGTAGTTTATAGATAGATAGATGTCGACTGAGACGGGATTTTCCTCTCGCTAACGAGAGCGGGCGATGACAGTAGCACAGCAACGATGTTAGGATTTTTTTAAATAGATAGATCTAGATATAGATATATCTATCTTATTAGTATCTATATATACAATAAAATCTAGATAAAAAATAACAACATACAACACTCGTGTTAAAGGGTACTGCTACATGCTTGTTTGTTTTAAAACAAAACAAGTTAATAAAAAGTCTAGTGACAATTTAAGCGCAATTTCCTTAATTATTTTTTTAGAATTCACAGATCTACGTAAAAATCCTTTCGAACCTCCGCTCATTCGCTATGGTAAAATCCTTTCGAACCTCAGCGCTTTGCGCTAAAAACCTACACGATGCTCAGTTTAAATTTTAAAAAATCCTTTCCAACCTCCGCTCATTCGCTATGGTAAAATCCTTTCGAACCGCAGCTTTGCGCTAAAAACCTACACGATGCTCAGTTTAAATGTTCTTAATTAATTTTTTGTGACCGAACGAAAGGATATTTTTGAAAACTTTCTTCGGCAATATTGGTCTAAATTATGGCAGGAATCGATTGGTAAATGTTTCAAGTCGCTAATTGGTCTGGTTGCCGAGATATGGGCCAAAAACTGCATTTTTTCGAGGTTTTTTGGCTTTTCCGGGAAATCCAGGAAGGAATTCCGGGAATTTTTTGGCCCACAATCATCCTTGGAACTTGCTTAACATATTTGCTTTGGAACTAGTCCTCGATATTGCTTCGTTGAGGAGGAGATGCGACTTAAAGCTGCGGACATCCATCCATCCATCCATTCCCAAAAATGACGAGTTAATAATCGCAATTCTCCAGAATGGAAATTGCGCTAAAAAAATAATTAAAATAAATAAAGATGAACAAAATATGATAAAAAACTTTTTTATTTACCCTTGATTCCGCAGGTATGTCTCGCATTACCTTCTCGCATTTTCCCGACTCGCCATTTCGCGTCTCGCAATTTCCCAACACCCCCAGGACGTAACAACTGGGAGGGGGGAGGATTTTGGTAACGAGGATGTGGGGTTCAGAAAGTGATCACACACTCCTTATTTTTACCACGTTTTTCTTAACTCAGCTTCGCGTTTGTTTATGGATTTGTTTGTTGTTAAAATTGACAACGAAAATTAGCCCACTTCTGATTGCTCTAGAGATCTGAAATTCGGCATGCAGGCTATTTTCGCCTAACAATTTCAGATGCAATCATAAAAACTAGCAATTAGAGACCTAAATTAGCTTAATTAAATTACGCCCCTTCTCTGTTTAAAGCGTCGCAATACAGTTGGGCAACAACACCTGACGTACGCAAATGTATGAGGAAGACATTCCAGATGTCAAAATCGATTTTGGTCCCCCGTACGGTGAGAAAATAGTTCAGCCAAAGTCTGTTCAGTTTGATGCTGTAAGAAATAAAGGAAAGGTTGAACGACGACAGCTCCCATTGATTCTGTGCTGGGCGTGCACAGTTCACAAAATGCAAGGATGTACCATGGACAAAGCCGTCGTGAACCTAGGAAGCAAGCTCTTTGCGGATGGACAGGCTTACGTCGCATTAAGCAGAGTTCGCTCGTTGGAAGGATTGCGTATCGAAGAATTGGATCTCGCGAAATTAGCAGGAAGAAAACCTTGCAATGAAGATGCTATCCGTGAAATGGAGAGAATGCGGAACCATCAGCCCCAGAATCGAGCACAGCAAAATTAATCATTTTAGTTTCATTTCAGCCTCTTTTTTTTATGTTTTACAGTGTAATGCTTAAGGTGGGTGGAGAATCGACAGTTAATCTGTGTTATGTAGTCATCTGTGTGCTTTGTTTTGATGGTGATGATGACTGCAGTGAGAGGTTCAAATAAAACGCCAACACAATTTCAGCTGAACAACTTTAATGGTTACTACTCTAGTCTTGTATAAAAAAAGGAAATGATCTTGAACATTAATAGTGACCAGCTTTAGGGGCTAGCCCTATCACACAATACAAAAACACAACTACATCCTCGCAAGCCTAGCGTTCAACTGTCCTATCTTGACCCTTTGGGTTCCTTTACCCCTGCATGACCCCGGCATTCCAGCGAGGGGGAGGGACGGGCGCCTGCAAAATCCTAGGTGGGACTGATGCATTGTGTCCCAGTACAGGTGTGGGGGTGGGGAGGGCAGTACACGCTGTCACAGTTCAGGTGTGGGACAGGAGGGGGGTGGGGTAGATACCCACTAGCGGTGGGACGAGGGGGGGGGTGGACTCAGTTATAACAATCTGTTCGAGGAGGGATGGACGGTGGGCCAACTACCTAAAAACATTCAAAAACCTTTTGATCCTTTTTATTTTGATAAAAATCCTCTAAATTTTTATGTATTTAAAAACACTTAGTCAAGTCATACTTAATCAAGTCATTAGATAAAGTAGAAAATAAACTATATAAAAAACTTTTTAAAAACCAGGTTTTTCATGTGTAGCAACGGACTAAAAAGGAGAAAATAAAATACTTTAAAAAATTTAAAAAAAAAAAAAAAACCACGTTTTTCTTGTGGACTAAATCGGGCAGATTTATGATTAAAGCGAAAAGCACACAACACACGAATTTTGGAAATTTGATGGTGAACGTACCCACATTTTTTGTCATCAAATGTATGAACAGTCATCACAAAGAACCTGCACAGCTCGAGGAAGCACAAATTCTACGAGTAGTCATTGGTAGATCCCCTAGGGTCGGAAGAAAAATTTATTTTCTACTTTTTAGTCCACAAGAAAAACGTGTTTTTTTTTTTTTTTTAATTTTTTAAAGTATTTTATAAAGTAACTAGGCATGCTGCCCAGCTTCGCTTAGGCTTTCGAAAACATTGAGAATTTGAATGCTTAATTAATTCGCCCGAGGGTCGGTCTACGACCTCAAGAGTTATGAAGAGGTTCCTCCGTGGACATTTTTTTTCGATTTATAGCTCATATAAGGCACCGGTCAGTAGAGGTCAGTTTTGACCCCCTCATCGTAGACTTTTCGGCCAACCGGCCCCCGTGTTCTGTCGCCCCAAGGCAAGATCCTGCCAAATTTGAAGCGCCTGCGGCGCCGGGAAGTGCTCTATCAGACACCCGACAATCTAGTTCTAGATCTAGAATCCTAATAGAATTTTTTTTTTTAAGTTTAGCCCGAGCATAATAAAAAAAAATACATTAACCAAGTTGACTTGGTGTGTCTCGAAACCGCACCACCTGCGTGGTTTATAGTACACTAACATCTCCGCTAATTAGGCACCTTATAAAATACGGAGAATGAAACACGTATTTTAAAATCTTAACTTACGCGAATATGCCTATTCTTTCAAATAAAATTTTTTATCCCAAATTAGCCAGTTCCAAACAAAGATTTTGTATAAAATAAATAAGTCTTGAAATAGTTTAGTCCTAATATAGAAATTTATTTTTGGAATTGATTTTAGAGAAGTTAGAGTCTAAATCTAGATCTTAGCGTCTACGTCTAGATCTAGTTATTGCGTAGATTTAGATTTAGTCTAGATCTAGAATCTCTAGATCTAGAATCCAAATACATAAAATAAATTTTATGAGTTTAGTCCGGAAAAATTGTATTGTATACATTTCATAGTGTACGTAGATCTAAATCAAATTTGAATGAAATAGTTCATTTCTTTTTATTCTAAACACGGCAGATGACGTCATTAGTTAATGTATAAGCAATAGTGACGTCACAGTTTTATGCGTTCTTTTTACACATCTATTAATGCTTTTCCGGTTGCATAAATAAAATTGTTTTTCTACATTCGAATACGCCTTTATTTTTTATTTTTCTTCTTTAAATAAAATTGTGGTTATACATTTAAAACATCTAACATATTATTTTCAACAAAAGTCCGTATAAAGTTCTCCATATATCGCTGCCGTTTCTGACGTGATGTCCGGCGAAAATATTTTGCGGACAGACAGAGAGAGAGAGAGGTGCGAACGTGGGGTTTTATAGATTTAGATGTCTCAACAAACTAGGCTATCCGTATGATTAAAAAATATTATCCAATCAGCATCCTTGTTACGTCTACCTTTCGCGATTTTCATCTTAGAATAAGGAAAGACAACAACACTGTTCTAAAAATAAACCATCGAATCAAACCAGCGAAGAGATTTTATCAATTTATTTTCTGAACGTAGTATGTCATAGAAGACACAACGTAGACAGCTGTCTATGTTAGGGGTCATCCATAAAAATGACGTCACGCTTTTTTGACGATTTTTACCTCCCCCCTCCTCCCCCACACAGTGTCACAAAAAGCCGACCCCCACCCCTAAAATGACGTCACAACTCAACCTACAACCCCCCCCCCCCCCCCTCTTAAAATTGCGGTTGAATTTTTCTTAAAACATCGATATTTTTTTCTAAAATCGTGTCTGAACTCTGCGTAGCTAGATCTAGATAGAATGTCTATATTAATATTATTATAATAATATAGTTAAAATAATCGAGTAGAGATACAAAGGCCCAGCTGGGTTGATTTTGGTTTATCTTATTTTTGTAAACATTTCTCACGCATTGGACAAACGAGGAACACATCACATTCTAATCTAAATCAAGGGTTTGTGATTTTTAATTTTATTTTTATATCTAGAATCTACTAGAATCTAGAGAGATCTAGATCTAGTTGAAGGAGCAAGGCATTTGCCACACAAATTTTGAAATTAAATTTTAAAATTATTATAAAATTAAGGCAACTCTTGAACTCACACACGGAACAAAACAAAAAAACAATACAAACAAAAACAACTGTCAACTCAACACTCAGTCTCTAGTCAACTGTGTCTAAAAATGGAGAAGTGCCTGAGTCCACTGCTAGTAGAAGGCCACTAGAAACTCTAGTCTAGTGACTAGTCATCATCATATCTACTTGTGACTCTCTAGTGACGAGTGTAGTTATTCTAGCAGCATCTTTCTAAAATCTAGATCTAGATTTATTAGATTATTCTTAGGCATTTCGACTTCCGCTGTTTCGATTCGGTACGACCACATCCTGACTTTTTCATCGTACTTGTTGAAATTCGCCATTTTTTAACATGTTAATTCTCGCCATCGGAATGGAAAAATAAAATGTATTCGATGTGAATATTTGAGTTGAATTTCATCTTTTATACATACTAATAAATGAATTAGCTCCCGTTTTACATTGTCCGATACCGAAAGCGATCACCGATAATAGCAAATATTTGTCGAAATGCCGACGCTACCGAACTGGCGCATTGACAACTAAATTTCAGATATAAATAATCCTTTAAGTTGCATGAAAATAGGCTTAAATAGCATGCCAACCATTTGGATAAATAGAAATGTCGATTTGAAGGGTTTTTAAGCACGGGCCAATGAGGAGTAGCGCGATAAAACTCGTAGGGGTAGGAACGAGAAAGCATGCGTAATTTCATAATGGCGGCCGGGCTACGAGATATTAATAGATATGCGCATACGATGTTTTTTAATAGCTGTTTGTTTTTAAATGGACTGTTACAATAAAATGGGCTTAAAATAAATATACTTTAGATCTAAATTATTAGATTAAAAATGGAAAGAATGTAATTAGGCCTAATTGCTGCCTAAATAAATTATACAATTTTAAATTAGCCAGATTTTTATTAACCTTCTTAATACCAGGTTAACTAGATCTAGCAAACTAGCATTAACGAATTGCAGATAAATAGATTATAAAGGCATTTTCATGTAGAAAAAATCTATATTTATTGTAAACAGTTTAAAAAAAATAGAATCTAGATCTAGATCTAAATGGAAATGAAAACACTAAAACAATAATGGGTCTAGAGTTGTGTAATAATAATATATATATATATATATATATATATATATATATATATATATATATATATATATATATATATATATATATATATATATATATATGTATATTTATATATATATATATATTATATATAAACTATTAGGCCTTAATGTAAATACTGACAGGCCTATCTGTAGTATCTAGATCTATAAAGTACTATAAAGGGCCTAAATTAAAAATAATAATGCCCAATTTTATAAACTGCACTGCATTACAGTTTTAGTTATAGGCAACTATAATAGAAAGAAAACATGAACACTTTAATTAATGTCATTTAAGAATTTATCAAAGGATACGTCAACTTCACTAAACATTTTATAAATAAGAATACTGTGAAATGTCAATCTTTGAGTTTTAGCACACCTCAACACTTTTCATCAGAAACATTACAAGAACCAAAATTTTCTAAATTAATAATAACATTTTTACCATGTTATACACGGACACAAATCCAATGTTTATGGCAAATCGTTAAGTAACTTGATCATATTGTGCTGTATTTGACTTGTAAGTTCTAACTCTATACATAACCTGTACAATATGTATACTAGCATTCTTATTACTAACACCAGAATCAATATGTAAAGTTTAATCTTTATTTTTATAGTAGCAACAAAGAAGTGTAACATATTAGCCTGTAGTTAATCATCATAGTCAAATTGCGCTGTACCATATTCAAGTTCACTATTTATAGTTTTCCTCTAGCTATGTTTATTTTATTTGCATGATTGCATTTTGTACATGCTCTAGTCCTAATATATAATATATAAAGTTTCATGATGGTATATGGAATAGCAACCTAGCTGTGCAGTCTGGAAATCCTCGTATGGCAGTCACTATAGAACAGTGCCACACCCCTTAATTTAACTTCATTATTTCTAGTTACCTCTTTTCTAATTTTTATTTTATTTGTAGACTTCTATTGCCTATATCATTGAGTACAAATGTGCAAAGTTTTATCATTATATCTTTAATAGCAACATTGGTATGCAAGTTTAAAGCCAATCACACGTCTGGAATGCAGGTTACAATGAAACATAACAAGTTAAACACATAACTTTGAAAATTCATATAAAAAAAACTATTAGGCCTAGAATGATAAATTTGATATTTTTATCAATGGGGTATATTATAGGATTAATCTGGGTCCATTTTATCATTCTATGATAATTAGGAAAAATTTCCCAATAGGCCTAGATTATTCTAGATCCTCTAGCTACTGTAGCCCTCTAGCCTAGGCTGGTTGGCAGAAGACCAAAAAGTGCAATGACCATAAAAAGGCTTAACATGGGCTGAAATTACCCTTAAGAGCTGTGCAATGGGTTGAAAATACCCTAAAGCCCTAAACAGCTTTCCAATCGGCTCATATTACTCTTTTACTAAAAGACTTTTAGCCTTATTCTTCTAACAAAACTAACCGTATCATGTGGTTGAGCATTTACGCTTTGGGTCAATCGTCAGGGGGATAGAATTTAGTTTATCTAGAACTAGGAAAGAGATCTACCGATCTAGTCTGTCACTGTAAGCAAAGTATAACATCTCTTTGAAAAATATTTTTAATAGCATTCAAATCTACTAGGCCTAATATGTATCATGTTACTCAGGTATAACATTACAGTAACACATATGACAGTATTAGAAGAGTTCATTATTATTTTAAGTTACATTTTGAGCAAATTTGAGTTATTTGCAGAGCATTCTAATAAACCTACTATGTAGCAGTAGTGCCACACTACTACACTATGTAGTAATAAAATATGGCATAAGTAATTTTATGGGTAGGTGAAGATAATCTGAATAATTTAATAAAGGTCAGCTCATATAGTTTACAATGAAATTTGAATTACAATGCAATTATAATGACTACGTAATATTCAATAATAAATTTCGTTTAAACTGTTGCCTGTTATCCTAATTTCCTTTCTTTAAATGTAAGACCATACATATTTCAGATATTGGATTGATCTATTCATCAGGTTTTAAAAATGCTATGCAAAACTAAAGTAACAGCAGTTTAAAAAACCCAGCAATAAATGCAACAGATGGATCAAAGTTGAAAATGAATTTCATTTTACTCAGGGCTCACAAAAATATAAAGAAGAAAGAAGCTTTTTTTTTTCAAATTAATCTCTTTTTTTTTTAACGTATTGTTTTTTTTTAGTTAAAGCCCATACTTTTTATTTTTGAACTAATATGATAATAGTAATTTGGGATTGTGTCAATAAGTGCCATCCATAAAAAACTTGGAGTAAAATAAGATTTCAGACCTAACATTAATATTGCAGATGAAATTGAGTTCACCTGAATCTATCAGTGTGTGCTCAACAAATAAAGAAATAGTCTGGTTTGTTCTGTGTCTAGCCATCTTTACTTTCCCTACCTTAAGTCAGGTGTCCATCATAGTTGGTTTTTTTTTTAAATTAAAAACAAAACAAAATATTTGAGTGGAATAACATGCATTAAATACAATCTTGCATAGAGTATAGTATCATGTTTTAATCATTTAACAATTTTTTTCTTCCAAAATAGGACCCTAATGGAAAACTATGAATAATGCACTTGTGTTATGATGAGATCACAGCACCAACCTAGAGGCCAGACAGTGGACCAAATAGTTTACTCTGGACTCTTAGTTGTTATAACAGTGAGGAAAAACTAGAAGTGTGTGACTACTCTTAATATTTATGACATGAAAAGTATGTTTTTTGTCTTATCCCTCTAAATGACTAGGCCCCTACCCCTTTCTAAAATTGATAAAGCCTCCACATTGTAATGGTGTTTGACATAGGTGTTATGTTTGGCTTATTGTGAAAAGAATATGCATAGCTGCATAAGTCAGCATTCATGTTTTTGAAGAACATTTTTATTTATGTTTCTTGATTATTACTGGAAATATTTTCAAAAAAATTATTTAGTTATGGAGCTAAAGAATAGAAAAAAACGAGAAGCTGATATAGAAGTATTACCAAGTGTTTTAGCAATCAAGCAAGAACTATATGTAGACAACCAGCCAGAAATTTTGAATATAATTTCAGCTGAATACATAAAACAAGAGGAGTTTACAGAAACTGATGACACAAAAGCAAATGTATTGTCAACATGTGAAAACAAAAATCATAATTTATTATCAGAATTTACAACACATGTAGACAACAAACCAGATAGACTTGATTTATTTTCAGTTTTTGAAGATATAAAACCTGATGGTTTAAATGCAGGGCTAAGCCTATCACTAGAGACAACTCATACTGACAATATTTCTCATATAAAGACAGAGTTATCAACTGATTCATCAGAGCTTAAGGATATGCTTATAAGCAACATTGAAAATCCAACATCAAATCAGGTTGAATTATTAAAGAAGTGTAAGAAGCAAAACTTAAAATCTTCAAAGCATAAAACTCTTCCAGTTCTAGTAAAATGGAAAGAATCACACACAGATGTGGGGTCATATGAGTGTAATGTGTGTCATAAAAAGTTTGCTACTAGGACATATCTAAAACAACATAATAAAGCAATTCATTTAGGAGAAAGGTTACATGAATGTGGAGTCTGTCATAAAAATTTTACTACAAGAGGTAATCTAAATCTACACATAGCTATTCATTCAGCAGAAAAGAAACATGAGTGTGATTTATGTCATAAAAAGTTTACTACAAGAGGTAATCTAAATGTACATATAGCAATTCATTCAGCAGAAAAGAAACATGAGTGTGATTTATGTCATAAAAATTTTACTACAAGAGGTAATCTAAATGTACATATAGCAATTCATTCAGCAGAAAAGAAACATGAGTGTGATTTATGTCATAAAAAATTTGCTTCAAAAAGTCATCTAAATAAACATAAAGCTATTCATTCAGCAGAAAAGAAACATGAGTGTGATGTGTGTCATAAGAAATTTGTTACAAAGAGTCATCTAAATCAACATAAAGCTACTCATTCAGCAGAAAAATCACATGAGTGTGATGTGTGCCATAAAAAGTTTACCACCAAGCCCTACCTAAATATACATAAAAAAATTCATTCAGAAGTAAAGCTACATGAATGTGAGGTGTGTCTTAAAAGATTTTCTAGAAAGTCCTACCTAAAGAAACATGGAGCATTTCATTCAGCGGAAAAGTCTCATGAATGTGATGTATGTCCTAAACAATTTGCTTCAAAGAAGTATCTAAATAAACATAAAGCAATTCCTTCACTAAATAAACATAAAGCAATTCATTCAGCGGAAAAGTCTCATGAGTGTGATGTATGTCATAAAAAATTTACAACAAGGGCTTACCTAAATATACATAAAGATATTCATTCAGAGGTATATGAATGTGATGTGTGCCATCAAAAATTTACTACCATTTTAACTCTAATTAAACATAAATCAATTCATTCAGCAGTTACGTCACACGAGTGTGATGTGTGTCATAAAAAGTTTTCTACCAAGAGTAACCTCAATGTACATAAAATTATTCATTTACCAGAAAAGTTACAAGAGTGTGATGTATGTCATAAAAAATTTGCAAAAAGGGCTACCCTAAATCAACATAAAGCCATTCATTCAGCACGAAAGTTATATGATTGTGATGTGTGCCATAATAAATTTATTGCCAGTTCTTCTCTAATTAAACATAAAGCAATTCATTCAGCACATAAGTCATGATTGTGATGTGTGCCATAAAAATTTACCTACAGGGGTAACCTAAATAAACATAAGACAATTCATTCAGCACAAAAGGTCACATGAGTGTTATGTGTGTCATAGAAAGTTTGCTACAAGGATTTACTAAATTACAACATGAAGCTTTTCATTATGAAAAAGCACCAATTGAGTGTGATGTACATCATCAAGGGTTTTCTTGAAATAAAAAACTAAATAGACATAAAAAAATTCATGTCATCGCATGAGTGATTTGTGCTATTAAAAGTTTGCTACAAGGAATAATCTTTATCAACTCAAAGCAAGTTATACAGCAGAGAATGCAAGAGTGTGATTTGTGCCAAAGAAAGTTTCCTTTGATAATGACTCTTAAATGTCATCAATTAATTGATTCAGAAATATGTTAAATTAAACATTTATGAATATAATAAAGTATGTATAAACAAATCAATTCATAAATAGATTAAATTATATTTGTATAGTGTAAAATGCTATTTATGAGGTAATCAAAAATTCGGTCCAATTTCAATGAACCTTTCCCCCTCCCCCCTCCTCTAGATGTTCACAAAAATTTAGTAGACCTCCCAAAACTTACTACCAATTTACTTTTTTGGACTCCATCTCCGTGTGGACGTCATAAATGGATAAGCCCTAAGCAATACAGACAATATGAGTATAAAGTGTTTCATAATAAAGTTTGCTTTTATCAAGCAAATTATTCAAGAAAGGTCAAATATATATTCTTTATGTGAAAACAAAAATCTTGATTTCTTTATGAGACCTTGAAACTTGAAATAAATTAACAAAAAAAAAAAACCCAGATAAACAATGTGTTTTCTCCATTTTAAAATATAAAACCTGATGTTTTAAAGCAAAAGAGATATTTGACTGCTGTGTGTCTTAGCAAGTTTACTTCAAAAAGTCCTGTAGAAATAATTCATTCAGGAGAGAAGTCATATTTTACTTATTTACAAAAAAATCTGATTTTTTTTTTGTGCTTCACCATGTCCATTTGAAAAAGATTCCTTCTTATTACTATTAGCATTAGTGAAATTATTAGTGAAATTTGCATGATCTGTGTGTAATATTAATATATTATATATTTATGAATATCATCCATGTTGTGAATGATTTCATTTTTGCAATTTGTTTTAATTAATTCTAGAATTTTTGTTTGCTACTTCCTTTGATAATCTTGTTAAAACTTCATTAAAATCAAAACCATTTACATAATAAAGTTTAATTGTTTTTTTTTCTGAAAAGTTGGTAATTTTGTATGTGTCTGTACTGCAAGTATCAATTTTGTGCCCACCTCCCATTTATTTATATTATAATTATTAATGTTAGTGCAAAAAAACACTTCCCCAGTTTAAAATGTTGGTGGCGCTTTTTTATCAGTCACTACAGACACACAAAGACATACTGACAAACAGAGGCGTATCCAGGTTTTCGTTGTAGGGGGAGCGAAAAGATAAAAAAAAAGGCGCTGAATTTTTAACACGTTCTATATATGTGTATTATATATATATATATATATATATATATATATATATATATATATATATTTATATATATATATATAATTACTAGCTGTATGTCATTACTTCGCTATGATGTAAAATAAATTGAAAGTAGCACTCTGAAGAAATAAGAAAAAACACACAATGTAGGCCGACAAAACAAAAATTGTATCAATCTAAAGAAATATATATATATATATACACACTACAACCAAAAACAATGAACGTAACACAATCTGGTTTGTAATTGTTGTAAAAAAAATTTCTTACACAATAATTCCTGGGAAATTATTTAAGACAAGTGAAATAGGGGAAATAATCACTTTCTTAATATAAATATGTATATATCTAGACATTTAATTATAAATGTCAAAACAAAAAAAATAATTACTTTAGAATGTAATGAAATTGTTTAACACTATTCGTGTTTACAAAATGTTTTTGTCTATGATCAGAATTTAATATATCGTCATCATAAATGCTAAAGTATTACAGCATAATGAAAGTTTTTAAAATCAGAGTTGGTGTAAAAACACGCTTTTCGATATATTAGTAAAACATTCGGAATAACAGCCTACATTTAACTAAATAACGGTGTTTTAGTTCAGATAATATATTTTAATTAACTACAGCTTCTTTGAATTTAGAAAAAGCTGCACATTAAGCCTACTACAAATCACTGATCTACGACCAGATCTACAAGCATCTGTTGTATTGATGTAAATACTCTGTTAGGGTAATCATGGAAAAAAATCTCATAGGCGCTGAGCAAAATGTGATTTTACAGTTATTATTTAATAACATTGATACACTAACAACGAACACCTGTATTAGTGGGGATGGTGAAATTGTTTCCTGGATGCTTTAAGATTTGATGTCCCTAAAATTAACAGTGACCTGAAATTATAATCGGACAATGTTGTTCTCAAATTGTTCTTCACGAATTTCATTCTTGAAAATGTTTGTTCACACAGGTATATTGATCCAAAAATTAAAAGGTACCTTGATGGAAAAGTTTTTACATTGGGAAAGTCTTCCTTTATGCAAAAATTTGTAAAAATCCACTAGCCCTTCTTTGAATTTTTCCTTAAGGATGTCATTTGCTTGCAACTAAATTTCAGTAATTTTTTTCCGTAGACAAAAAGTTCTCCACAGGCTGGATGAGAGTGCCTAGCTGGCCATAGTTTGGAGACCTCTGGTCTATTCTAATGACAAACTTCTACATCCGGTAGCACATAGGGCAAATATGTCAGCCATGTCGCTGATAGAAGCCATCATCGGTGCCCTGTCAAAACGGCCCGGGACAAATCGGCCCCGTCAAAACGGCCCCGTTAATACGACCCCGTCAAATCGACTCCCGACAAACCGACCCCGTCAAAATAGCCCCGTCAAAAGGGCCCCGACTTATTGGCTCCCGTCAAATGGGCTCCCGTCATATTGACTTGCGACATATAGGCTCCCGACAAATGGGCTCCCGATATTTAGGCTCCCGACAAATGGACTCCCGACATATTAACCCTTGACAAATAGGCTCAGGACATATTGGCTCCCGACAAAGCGGCTCCCGACATATTGGCTCCCGACATAAGGGCTCAAGACAAATGGGCTCCCGGCAAATGGGCTCTCGACATATTGGCTACCGACAAATGGGCTCCCGACATATTGGCTCCCGGCAATTGGGCTCCCGACATATTGGCTTTTGACAAAATGACTCCCGACATATTGGCTCCAGACCAATATAGCATGACCACTATTGGCATAAAAGTAACCATTGTGTCCTACCTCCAATACCACTATAACCTCTTTTAAATGCCCGAATGAAATTGTTTTTCATGAACCAACATTAATTCACAAACAAATCGAGCCGTTAACAGCTAAATTCCACCAATTCTAAAGTTTTGATAATGTTTAATGTGGTCATCCATAAATGACGTCACACTCGTAGGGGGGGGGGGGGGGGAGGGGGGTCCGTAATTTTGTGACGATGTGTGATGAGGGGGAGGGGGGGTTCAGATGTTGCGACGTCACATTTTTGCATTATAAAAAATCAATGTTAGATAACGAATTTTAGACGATATTTCGCGTTTTAGATAACTGTTTTAATAAATTGTAATAGTTTAGACAAGATTTTGGAAAAATATCGATGTTTAACAAACATTCAACTGCAATTTTGAGGGGGGTTGTAGGTTGAGGTGTGACGTCATTTTAGGGGGGGGGGTCTGACTTTTTGTGAAGACGTGTGACGGAGGGGAGGGGGGGGGAGGTAAAAATCGTCCAAAAAAGCGTGACGTCATTTATGAATGACCCCCAATTTACAACAGAAAAGATCGTATGCTTAAAATCGAGCACAGAATTGTAAATGTATGATATACCTGATGTTTACATGATAACAGCATTTTGTTTTGATAACCTACAAGCATACTGCAGTTAGGAAGGTACAGCGTGGACCCTTCTCTCCACACACTGAGTTGGAACAGCCTATAACCGACTCAATTATGGATGTCATAGATAGATGACCCCTAAATTAAACATACTATATTTTATAATAGATAAACTAATATAAAAATAAGGCCTGCCGAATTAGAGATGCATACGTTGTATTACATAAGAGTGTTAGATAAGCTAACTCTAAAGAATATTGATGAAGGGGTACCACTGGCAGGTGTCATATTCAATGACCGGGAGACTTAGTCTCTACAGAAACGGTATTGTCAGTGCAGTGGTATCGCCTGTAGTGTTATTATAACAATTGGGCTCTGTTTGACCCACACACACTGAATCCCACTGCCAAAACGGTGGGGGGGGGGGGGGGGGGCTTTTTGGAACTTTTAACCTTTTTCTTTTTTAAAATTATTTATATGTAACAAATATTAAAATTACATTGTAAAAGTTTTAATTTTTTATGAGGGAAAAGGGCCCCTATGTGCCTTGGGCCCCTATGCCTTGCTTACGCTAGCTTTACGGTAGCTACGCCACTGTGTCAGTGGTCCTTTTGTCTGGAGCTAAATTGACAGGAGCCTTTTTGTCGTGAGCCAAAATGACGCTAGCCTATTTGTCGGGAGTCGTAATGACGGGGGCCGTTTTGTGGGGAAACTAAATGGCGGGAGCCTATTTGTCGGGAGTCGTAATGACGGGGGCCGTTTTGTGGGGAAACTAAATGACGGGAGCCTATATGTCGGGAGTCAAAATGACGGGAGCCTATTTGTCAGGAGCCATATTGACTGGAGCCCTTTTGTCGTGAGCCTATATAACGGGAGCCTATTTGTCGGTAGCCGAAATGACGGGAGCCTATTTGTCGGGAGCCTAAATGACGGGGTCCATATGTCGCTGGCCCTTTTGACGGGGCCGATTTGACGGGGTCGTTTTGACGGAACTGTTTTGTCGGGGTCGTTTTGACGGGGCCGTTTTGTCATTGGCCGTTTTGACGCCGCACGATGATTCACAGCTTAATGAATACATATATCAACAACAGAAAATTCAAATAATAGCGTCTAATTAGAAGAGGTTCCCCCACCGCCCGGAAATATAAAGTGCCCTCCCCCCACCCCGGAGAAAAAAGTCTGAAACAAACACTGCTAATTAGATTTAGTAGGCTACCACAGGGTGTTGTTGTGGCGATGTTAATAAAAACTAGTTTGCACAGATATATTTTATAACAAAAATTCACAATGTTACTGAATTTAAAAAGTCTCATTATTTTAATTATTAAAATATTAGGCCTAATTAATCTTTAAAATTTAATGCTAAAGGTTAGTGTAAGTAAATGTTAGGTCATACCAAGGGTGAGCAAAGTGCGGCCCACGGGCCAGAGTTTTTTGTGGCCCGCCAGACATTTAGAAACCCTGCCTTGAACTGAGATTTGCTTCATGTCCGCTACCAAATTAAGTGAAGCCATGAATCCTCAGAAAAAGCAAAACATTGGTGATGAATCCCTGTGTGTTTAATGAAGAATATGCACACAAAAATGTGGGTATAGTTAAGCTTTAAAAAAAACAAAGTTACAAGCACAAGAGGCAGACAGTGATGTCATTTCATTGCATTTTGCCTTAGGAAAGCATGTGTAAAGCTACACTTGACTTAAAGCATGTAATAGAACCTGTTGTAAGCGTGGTTAACCTGTTTTTAAACAATTGTATTAAATGCAACCAAGCTCATTTACTTAGGCAACCATCTTGTTTAAGTTGTTTTTTTTTTTTTTTTTGGTAAAAATATAGTAAGAGATTCAGGTGAAACCACTCTAACTTACAGATGGCCGCTTTTTATATAGTAAATGTTGCTCGCAAACACTGCTGTTCAGTTATCTATAATATTTGACTCAAATATCACACTTTACTTCTATTTAAGCCTTAACAATGAGTCGTTTTTGCACATTATTAGCCTCAGCCAATTTTACACACTTAAAACGATAGATTACCTTTTTTTTTTCAGCAACATCTATAGATTTGTTTTTTTTTATTGTTTTTTTTTTTTAAGGATTTGTCCCTGACTTGATAATTGATGGTAATTTATTGTTTAATTATGTTAAATTTTGCATAGATTTTAGTACTTTTAAAAAAAATATTATTAGCCTAGTAGGAATAGTAGGCCCTAATATTAGATTCTGCTATAATCTATCGCCAATAGATACAAGGCTTGTAATGTGAAAAGAAGGTGCCTAATTAAATGTTGGTAATTATTTCACATTTTTAGGAGGATGTATGTTTTGAAAATTACAAAAATGTTTCCAATTTCCATCATGTACCTGTTTTTAAACAATTGTATTACAACTTTTCAGTAATAAATATAGACTAGCAATGTTTTCATCAGATGCAACTAAAACTCGTTTACTTTGACAGCCATCTTGTTTCAGTTTTTTTTTTTTTTGTTAAACCACTCTAGTTTACAGATGGCCGCTGTCTATAGCAAATCTCTCTTGCAAACACTGCTGTTTTACACAAGCTTTTATTTAACTTACTGTCTCTGTCTGTAAGTTGTCAGTCTGTCTAGATAAAAACGCCCTAGGGAAATTACGGGCACTTCTAACTGACAGATACGGTTCGTAGTTGGTACCTGGGTAAAGAAGACAATTCAACATACATTAAATTTGACTTAATTGGTTGCCTAATTACTTTTTTATGAATGAATTAAAATCATGTCCAAATTAGTAGGCTGTCTCATCAAACTAATCCACACTATTATACACGTGTCATCATATTCATTAGGTGCGCAATGGTTTTTATTTATGCAACTCTATTATAAATTTAAAAAATTTAATGTACTGAAAAAGAAAGTCATAAAAACGTTTTAATAACAAACTTTTATGTAATAATGCACTAAAAAGTAGAAAATAAATTATACACTACTATTTAAATAACTATAAAGAAAAGCGTGGATCACTTTAGTATATATTGGATACCTTTACTGATGTTTAGGAAGAAACCCACGCTTTTTTAAAATAGTTATTTAAATAGTAATGTATCGGGGTCAGCGTGGTCGAGTCGGTAAAGCTCATGGTTGCTAAACCGAAAAGTCTCGAGTTCGAACCCTCCGGCAGATGAGTCTCATGAGCTGGGGCCTGCCGCTCTTCTTGGAGAGACAACTCCAAATTCAAACTACTGCTGCCTTGTAGTTTGTTCTTAGTTGGACAAAGGCTATGGAAGCAAATCCAAAAAAGAAAGGCAGGCTGAAATTGGAGTCAACGGCCTATATGGCGCATAACCTGTTGACACGTATCCTTAATTGTGATGGAGGCGTGGTCGAGTTGGCAAAATCTCATGGTTGATAAATTCGAGTTCCAGTTCAAACCCTCTGGTAGATAAGGCTCGATATCCTCCAACACTAAAAATTAAGAACGAACAAGAAGAAGAAGTAGTGTATAATTTTTTAACTTACTGTCTCTGTCTGTCGTCAGTTAGATCGAAACAGCAGAGCAAAAATTTCGAGCACTTCTAACTGACAGATTCTGTTCAAAGTTGGCACGTGGGTCAAGACATGAAGACAATGCAATCTGACATTAAATTTGACTTATTGGATGTATAATTAATTTTTTATGAATTGATTAAAATTGTGTCCAAATTAGTAGGCAGTCTCTTCCAGCTATTCCGCACTAATATACACGCAGTCATGCAACTCTATTGCATTAAAAAAAAATCTGTCTTATATTGATATATTTAACCATTGTTTTTGGTTTATTATTCAGTTATCTATCATATTGGAGAAATATGCATTCCAAACAACAGCTGTCAATGAAAGAAACAATGTTTGCATGACATTCCTAGTCCAGTCCATGTATTTCATTAATTAATTGGTAATGTAACCTTAGGCCCAAGGCTAATATCAACTTTAATGTATCACGCCCTTTAAATCTTAATAATAGAAACATTAACATAAATATATCAAGGAAGACCAATAAAAGTAATATTAATGTAAATTAAACTATCATAATTAAAAAACCACTACATAGTATAAACAGACGTACATTTTTATGTCAGGCAATTGAGTGTTATTTTTGTTAATGATGTTGTACAGCTACATTTGCTTTGATAACCAAAACAAATATTTAAGAAATACAGTACAAAGAAAATGAATTAGGCATAAAGCCAAAAATTGGAATAATTAAGTATGATAAAATGTGTCCAATAATTTTTTGTTCTATTTTCTACTATCCCAAATCTCTTAACCACAGCGACCTATGACTTCAAGGTATTTAAGATTTTGTAGCAACGTTGTTTCTGTATTTATATAGCTTTATACATTTGTATCATTATATCTCCTTTAATCTGGTATTTGTAATTATTTTGACATGTTGTTGCATGTATATGTTAAAGCTTAATTTGAAAAACAACTAACCCTATCATTAACTGCTTATGTCAGCATACATATTTCTGAAAAAAAAAGTATTATTTTTGTAAAAGTAAAGTTCCCTTTCAAACCTGATTATCTATGGGCATGTGAAGTAGAGTTCATCTGTTTCTGTAACCTCTGCATATGAAGGGATAGTTGGGTCAGCACTATGCCCAGCCACCTTTACTTTCCCTAACATGAGTTAGGTACCCATAAGAGCTGAGTGTACTCAGGGACGTTCTACTAACTTGAACCTGAATTCGAACTTGAGACTTTCTGGTTAGCAGTCTAACTCTCTACCACTAGGCCACCCTGTCCCATATTTATTATTGTCTAGAGATATTATTTCATTTTTTTTTAAAATCATTCTTTCAGCTAAAGAAATGGAAGAAAGAGCAGCTGATTTAAAAGAATTACCAAGTATTTTAGGAGTGAAACATGAACAATCTGAGAAAACCAATGCATATATTGCCAATGTAATTTCAACTGGAAACATAAACCCAGAGGGATTTACAGAATGTTCATCTTTTTATGACACAAAACCACATTTATTTTCCACATCTGAAAACAAAAATCCTGATGTACTATCAGAATTTAAAACAAGTGAAGACCAAAAATCTTTTGAAGATGTAAAACCTGATGTTTTAAAAGTAGAAGTAAACTTTTTGCCAGTGGCAAATCTAAATGAAAATCTTTCTCACATAAAGACAGAGATATTAAATAATATAGAAGAGGTCAAGGATACGTTTATAAACATGGATAATTCAATATTTGATCAGTCAGAGTTGTTACAGAAATGTAACAATCAAAACTTAACTATTTTAAAGCATAGAAGTCTTCTAGTAAAATGTGAAGAAACACACACAGATGTAAGATTAAATGAGCATGATCTATGCGATAAAATTTTTTCTAGAAGTGCTCATTTGAAAAGAAATAATTTAACTCATTCTGAAGAGAAGTCACATGACTGTGATGTGTGTCATAAAAAGTTTACAAGAAGGTATGCTCTAAAAGAACATCAAGTTATTCATTCAGGAGAAAAGCTACATGAGTGTGATGTGTGTCATAAAAGGTTTGCAAGAAAGTTTAGACTAACCAAACATAAAACAATTCATTCAGCAGAAAATGCACATGAGTGTGATGTATGTCATAAAAAATTTGCAACAAGGACTCGCCTATATCACCATGAAGCTAATCATTCAGAAGAGTTGCTATATGAATGTGATGTGTGCCATAAAAAATTAGTTACCAGTTCTTCTCTAATTAAACATAAAGCTATTCATTCAGCACGAAAGTCATATGACTGTGATGTGTGCCATAAAAAGTTTACTGCCAGTTCTTCTCTAATTAGACATAAAGTAATTCATTCTGCTTTTAAGTCACATAAGCCATAAAAGGTTTTCTAGAAAGTCGAACATACAGATACATAAAGAAATTCATTCAGTGGAAAAGCCTCATGAGTGTGATGTTTGTCATAAAAAATTTACATAAAGCTATTCATACAGGAGAGAGGAACCATGAATGTGATGTGTGCCATAAAAAGTTTATTACCAGTTCTTCTTTAATCAAACATAAAGCAATTCAATATGAAAGTTATATAAGTGTGATGTCTGTCATAAAAAGCTGACTACCAAGAGTAACCTAAAGCAACATAAAACAATTCATTCAGCACAAAAGGTTACATGAGTGTTATGTGTGTCATAGAAAGTTTGTTACAAGGATTTACCAAAAATCAACATGAAGCTATTCATTATGGAAAAGTACCATATAAGTGTGATGTGCGTCATCAAGGGTTTTCTTAAAATAAAAAATTAAATCTACATAAAAAATGCATGTCATTGCATGAGTGAATTATGCTATTAAAAGGAGTAAACTTTATCAACACAAAGCAAGTTATACAGCACAGGTGGCATGAGTATAATTTGTGGCATAAAAAGTTTCGTTTGATAATGACTCTAAAATGCCACCAATTAATTGATTCAGAAGTAGGTCAAATTAAACTTTTGTAAATAAAATAAAGTTTGTATGAACAAATTCATTCATTCATAGATTAAATTATGTTTCTATAGTGTAAATTTCTGTAAGCGGTCATCCATTTATGACGTCCACTAAAATGTTATCCACTTATGTTGAACCACTCCGCTCCCCCCCTTCCCCATGGACGACCACAACTTTGTAGATCTTGCAAAACAATAATACCAATTTACTATTTCAATAATATGTATTGTATACCTAAAAACTGATTTATATATATAGGAAATATTTTAGATCTGTGTAAATTAATTCTTAAATGGATGACCCCTAAGCAATAGAGACAACATGAGTATAAAGTGTTTCATAATAGTTTGCTTTTATCAAGCAAACTATTCAAGAGAGAGGCCAAATTTGTGTTCTTTTTGTAAAAAACAGTCTTGATTTCTTTATGAGACCTTAAACTTGAAATAAATTAAAACAAAAAACCCACAGATAAACAATATATTTATCCATTTGAAAATATAAAACTTGTTGTTTGAAAGCAGAAATCTTTTCCTTACAGAAAACTGTAAATGGCGTTTTCTTTTAACAAAAAAAGACTGCTGTGTATCTAAGCAAAGTTTACTTAAAAAGAGAGGTCATAATCTATTTCATTTTTTTTTTGTGCTTCACCATGTCCATTTGAAAAATATTCCTTCTTATTACTTTTAGTGAAAATGTTAGTGAAATTTGCATGATCTGTGTGTAATATATATTTATGATGTTGTGAATGATTTCATTTTTGCAATTAATTTAAATTAAATCTAGATTTTTGTTTTCTACTTCCTTTTAATAATCTTGTTAAAACTGGAATCCGGACAAAAGGCCGACATGAACAAAAGGCCGACATGGACAAAAGGCCGACATGGACAAAAGGCCGACAAGTTTTATAAAACAACAAACTACAATTACGCACTTGTTTAATTTTTATTGAAAACCAGTTACATAATGATAAAGGTATATTATAAAATAGAAAAAATAGGGCCTAGTATGTCAAATTGTATGCTATGCCACGTAAAAATTCAAGTGTAGTTGAAAAAAATATGAACAAATCCAAGGGCACAAATATAATCTACGCTATAAAAACTGAATTTTTTAAAACATTGTGCATCCAGGTGCAGTTCGCGCCCCCGCCCCATGATGTAACTGTACCAATACCCCAGAGAATTTTAACAAGTAATGTTATAAGCTGTTGCTAATGTAGTAAAAGACATCACTACCAATTGATTTCAGTTTTTAAAAAGTTTGTTGACTAGACTGCACTGTAGTTACTTTGTTACATTTTGTCTAATGTCATGTGTCAACTTGCCCCACCTACATATATAAATATAACATATTTTCTGTTTATACAACATGTAGGCATACTTGTATTTTGTTTATTAATATCAAATGTTTCTTTAATAACACTAACAAAAAACAAAACAAAAAACTTACCAATTTTGGCACACTTGTATCAAAATCACAACAGAATTAATGGATCCAACGAATATAGAATACACTTTTTTCACGCAATTCGCAATGGACGAAACTAAAATATAATTCAACGCTCTGTCGGTATTTAACATGTAGTTCAGTCAAAGGACGTGAGTCGTGATCGTTCTACTTTATTTGGTTTCTTTGATTTCTTTGAGAAATATGGTGGTAACACCACCTTTCTGGTTATCCTTTGTACACTCCCGTCATCTCCAGTCGCATGGACCCCATTGTTCACCTTGTTCGCAACTAGAATGGTCTCTTGGCGTTCTACCTTGTTGCATGTGGGCGATGATGCGACGGCTTTTGGCTTGGTTCTTTGATGATAGTCTCACCTCGTTGACATAGAAGGAGCTATAAAAAACAGCAGTGACCGCATTTCGCAAAAATTAGGTGTTGATCCTTTGTGTTTAAGACACTCACGTAATCTTCAGTCGCTTGGATCGGATGGTTCACCTTATATGGGTAGCAACTAGAATAGTCTCTTCTCTTGAACGTTTCACCTTATTTCATGCCGTATTTTGATGGTTGTCAAGATAGCAGCTATGCAGTAACATATATTTTGCGATATTAGTATTTTTTTTATACTTTTCTGCCTTATGGCTGTCGGCCTTATGTCCTGTCGGCCTTATGTCTTGTCTGCCTTTTGGCTGTCGGCCTTTTGTCCTACACCCGTTTAAACTTCATTAAAATTAAAACTTTTTACATAATAAAGTTTGTTTTTTTTCCTGAAAAGCTGGTAATTTTGTATCTGTTTGTACTGCAAGAGAGCTGAGGTGTAGCGACCCATATCAGGCACCCGACATGAAGTTTCAATTTTGTGACCACCTCCCATTTATATTATATTTATTCATGTTAGTGCAAAAAACACTCTTCCACAATTGAACATTTTGGCGGCGCTTTTTAACCAGTCACTAGTTTTTGCTTTGGTGCCACACTTTGACTGTGAATAATAATTTAATACTTTAGGTTGAAATGAGCTTTTAAATATTGTTTACCTCTTTTGGCACCCCCTTAGTGATGGCGCTCTACCCGCCCTCCCCTAGCTATACCACTGAGTGAGACTTAGCTTTAATATTAATCTGATATAACTTTTGAAAATAGTGTTTAAATATTATTTTAATAATAAATATTCCAAATAATTAATTAATATTTCGTTACTGTAAAAGATATGTCCGCAAAATTGATATTCACAATCTTAGAATCATGAGCTAATAACAAACAATATTAGTTCAATGGGTTTCTTTTCTGAGTGATATCGGTTATTTATTCCTTTATCCGATGTGAATTTTTCCGATTTTAGTCTTCAATAATCTAGAATTAGGAGAGAGTGCGTGTGTGAGTTGAATTTACCCTAGAGTCTTGTTAACCCCGGTGTGTTCATGTATAGTTATCCTAAGGTCGAATGCGGTATAAAAGCTGGAGTGAATGATTGTTAGGGGTTAGTTGGTAGCGGTTAGGTCGAGGGCTACTCTGGAATGTGAATATTGGAGACCGAATAAAAGTATTGAACGTAAACACGAGTCGTTCTTGAGTTGAAACTAACCGCCGCAAACATATTTTGTATTGTTGCTTAGAAATGTGTGATGAGGTGAAGGGGGGGGGGGGGGATAGATGTTAAGACGTCACACTATAAAAAAGCAATGTTAGAAAAAGAATTTTAGACGTTATTTCGATTTTAGAAAACTGTTTTAATAAATTGTAATAGGAATTGATTAAAATACTCTAGACAGAGTTCAGACAAGATTTTGGAAAAATATCGATGTTTAAAAAAAAAAATTCAACTGCAATTTTGAAGGGGGTTGTAGGCTGAGGTGTGACGTCATTTTAGTGGGGGGGTGTCTGGTTTTTTGTGAAAATGTGTGACGGAGGGGGGGGGGGGTAAAATCGTCAAAAAAAGCGTGACGTCATTTATGAATGACCCCTTTTAGCTATTAAATGGTAGTTTTGGTAGCGGACTTTATTCAGATTATCTACAAACGCACATTTGTTTTCATTCTGTTCATATTCGTGTTCTGTGTTAGCACAGCATAAATGGGAGTCTAATGAACTGGGTTGGATGTACTATGTGTGAAAGATGGTGTGACGAGGTGTGTTTGAGTAGTGCTAGGACTGTTTCAGAAGATTTTGTTTGTAATTAAAATTACTTAATAAAAAAATAAATTACACTTTTTAGAATTGTTTATACTTTTACACTTTTTGCAAGTACAACAATCCATGAATACATGTTACAGAATATATCTGCTGCTGACAAGATTATATACCAATTCACAATGACACAGCTCACGTTTGTAAAAACATGAGCGGGCTAGATTTTTAAAATTAACTAGACTACCCGTTATCTAGTTAGATAACTGTGGGTTTCGGGGGTCATCCATAAATGACATCACGTCTGTCAGCACTTATCATCCCAAAATAACCAGACCCCACATTCAAAAAGGCGTTTTTAATATTTTAAAAACTCTACTAAACTCTACTTCACCTGCCCAGTGTCCCGCCAAGTCTCAGACATGTTTGACATTTAAAAAAAAAAAATTCCTGCCGAGCATGGCTCTGACCACACTATCCCTTCATATGCTGAGAATATAGAAACAGGTGAACTCTACTTCACCTGCCCTGTGCCCCGCGAGGTCCCGATTGTCAACCTTATCATTCACATGTAGGCCTTAAGAAAAAAATAATTGAAAACATTGTTGTAAAAATAAAATAAATCTTTTTCTATTACTAAAGTCATTGTTCTAAAATTTTATAATTAATCTGGTTAATCTACCTATGAATATATCAATAAATTAATTAACGGCTTTAAATTACTTTGTAATTAACAGTGTGTTTAAGAAAGAACAATATTTACCACCCAAAACCTATTTTACAGCTCTACACATAATGCATATTCTCCCCAATAACAAATCAAAAAACAAACAAACAAAATAATGAGTTATCAAACGTCACTATTCAGTCAAAGTTTAGCCATTGTTCTAAAACTTTAAAATTATTGTGGTTAATCTACCTATGAATAAATCAATAAATTAATTAATGTCTTTAAATAAATGTGTGATTAACAGTCTGTCTGCAATCAAAAATTATTCTCTACCTACATACTATTTTACAGCCCCCCATATAGAGCAGTTTCCTTACAGTACCAAATCAGACAAACAAACAAATAAATATTCAAACATGTAAACAAACTTGAGTTTTAGTAGTTTATAGATAGATAGATGTCGACTGAGACGGGATTTTCCTCTCGCTAACGAGAGCGGGCGATGACAGTAGCACAGCAACGATGTTAGGATTTTTTTAAATAGATAGATCTAGATATAGATATATCTATCTTATTAGTATCTATATATACAATAAAATCTAGATAAAAAATAACAACATACAACACTCGTGTTAAAGGGTACTGCTACATGCTTGTTTGTTTTAAAACAAAACAAGTTAATAAAAAGTCTAGTGACAATTTAAGCGCAATTTCCTTAATTATTTTTTTAGAATTCACAGATCTACGTAAAAATCCTTTCGAACCTCCGCTCATTCGCTATGGTAAAATCCTTTCGAACCGCAGCTTTGCGCTAAAAACCTACACGATGCTCAGTTTAAATGTTCTTAATTAATTTTTTGTGACCGAACGAAAGGATATTTTTGAAAACTTTCTTCGGTAATATTGGTCTAAACTATGGCAGGAATCGATTGGTAAATGTTTCAAGTCGCTAATTGGTCTGGTTGCCGAGATATGGGCCAAAAACTGCATTTTTTCGAGGTTTTTTGGCTTTTCCGGGAAATCCAGGAAGGAATTCCGGGAATTTTTTGGCCCACAATCATCCTTGGAACTTGCTTAACATATTTGCTTTGGAACTAGTCCTCGATATTGCTTCGTTGAGGAGGAGATACGACTTAAAGCTGCGGACATCCATCCATCCATCCATTCCCAAAAATGACGAGTTAATAATCGCAATTCTCCAGAATGGAAATTGCGCTAAAAAAAATAATTAAAATAAATAAAGATGAACAAAATATGATAAAAAACTTTTTTATTTACCCTTGATTCCGCAGGTATGTCTCGCATTACCTTCTCGCATTTTCCCGACTCGCCATTTCGCGTCTCGCAATTTCCCAACACCCCCAGGACGTAACAACTGGGAGGGGGGAGGATTTTGGTAACGAGGATGTGGGGTTCAGAAAGTGATCACACACTCCTTATTTTTACCACGTTTTTCTCAACTCAGCTTCGCGTTTGTTTATGGATTTGTTTATTGTTAAAATTGACAACGAAAATTAGCCCACTTCTGATTGCTCTAGAGATCTGAAATTCGGCATGCAGGCTATTTTCGCCTAACAATTTCAGATGCAATCATAAAAACTAGCAATTAGAGACCTAAATTAGCTTAATTAAATTACGCCCCTTCTCTGTTTAAAGCGTCGCAATACAGTTGGGCAACAACACTTGACGTACGCAAATGTATGAGGAAGACATTCCAGATGTCAAAATCGATTTTGGTCCCCCGTACGGTGAGAAAATAGTTCAGCCAAAGTCTGTTCAGTTTGATGCCGTAAGAAATAAAGGAAAAGTTGAACGACGACAGCTCCCATTGATTCTGTGCTGGGCGTGCACAGTTCACAAAATGCAAGGATGTACCATGGACAAAGCCGTCGTGAACCTAGGAAGCAAGCTCTTTGCGGATGGACAGGCTTACGTCGCATTAAGCAGAGTTCGCTCGTTGGAAGGATTGCGTATCGAAGAATTGGATCTCGCGAAATTAGCAGGAAGAAAACCTTGCAATGAAGATCCGTGAAATGGAGAGAATGCGGAACCATCAGCCCCAGAATCGAGCACAGCAAAATTAATCATTTTAGTTTCATTTCAGCCTCTTTTTTTTTTTTTTAATGTTTTACAGTGTAATGCTTAAGGTGGGTGGAGAATCGACAGTTAATCTGTGTTATGTAGTCATCTGTGTGCTTTGTTTTGATGGTGATGATGACTGCAGTGAGAGGTTCAAATAAAACGCCAACACAATTTCAGCTGAACAACTTGAATGGTTACTGCTCTAGTCTTGTATAAAAAAAGGAAATGATCTTGAACATTAATAGTGACCAGCTTTAGGGGCTAGCCCTATCACACAATACAAAAACACAACTACATCCTCGCAAGCCTAGCGTTCAACTGTCCTATCTTTCTGGTCCAAGCTTGACCCTTTGGGTTCCTTTACCCCTCCATGACCCCGGCATTCCAGCGAGGGGGAGGGACGGGCGCCTGCAAAATCCTAGGTGGGACTGATGCATTGTGTCCCAGTACAGGTGTGGGGGTGGGGTGGGCAGTACACGCTGTCACAGTTCAGGTGTGGGACAGGAGGGGGGTGGGGTAGATACCCACTAGCGGTGGGACGAGGGGGGGGGGGTGGACTCAGTTATAACAATCTGTTCGAGGAGGGATGGACGGTGGGCCAACTACCTAAAAGCATTCAAAAACCTTTTGATCCTTTTTATTTTGATAAAAATCCTCTAAATTTTTATGTATTTAAAAACACTTAGTCAAGTCATACTTAATCAAGTCATTAGATAAAGTAGAAAATAAACTATATAAAAAACTTTTTAAAAACCAGGTTTTTCATGTGTAGCAACGGACTAAAAAGGAGAAAATAAAATACTTTAAAAAATTTAAAAAAAAAAAAAACACGTTTTTCTTGTGGACTAAAAAGTAGAAAATAAATTTTTCTTCCGACCCTAGGGGATCTACCAATGACTGCTCGTAGATTTTGTGCTTCCTCGAGCTGTGCAGGTTCTTGTGATGACTGTTCATACATTTGATGACAAAAAACGTGGGTCGGGCAGATTTATGATTAAAGCGAAAAGCACACAACACACGAATTTTGGAAATTTGATGGTGAACGTACCCACATTTTTTGTCATCAAATGTATGAACAGTCATCACAAAGAACCTGCACAGCTCGAGGAAGCACAAATTCTACGAGTAGTCATTGGTAGATCCCCTAGGGTCGGAAGAAAAATTTATTTTCTACTTTTTAGTCCACAAGAAAAACGTGTTTTTTTTTTTTTTTAATTTTTAAAAGTATTTTATAAAGTAACTAGGCATGCTGCCCAGCTTCGCTTAGGCTTTCGAAAACATTGAGAATTTGAATGCTTAATTAATTCGCCCGAGGGTCGGTCTACGACCTCAAGAGTTATGAAGAGGTTCCTCCGTGGACATTTTTTTTCGATTTATAGCTCATATAAGGCACCGGTCAGTAGAGGTCAGTTTTGACCCCCTCATCGTAGACTTTTCGGCCAACCGGCCCCCGTGTTTTGTCGCCCCAAGGCAAGATCCTGCCAAATTTGAAGCGCCTGCGGCGCCGGGAAGTGCTCTATCGGACACCCGACAATCTAGTTCTAGATCTAGAATCCTAATAGAATTTTTTTTTAAGTTTAGCCCGAGCATAATAAAAAAAAATACATCAACCAAGTTGACTTGGTGTGTCTCGAAACCGCACCACCTGCGTGGTTTGTAGTACACTAACATCTCCGCTAATTAGGCACCTTATAAAATACGGAGAATGAAACACGTATTTTAAAATCTTAACTTACGCGAATATGCCTATTCTTTCAAATAAAATTTTTTATCCCAAATTAGCCAGTTCCAAACAAAGATTTTGTATAAAATAAATAAGTCTTGAAATAGTTTAGTCCTAATATAGAAATTTATTTTTGGAATTGATTTTAGAGAAGTTAGAGTCTAAATCTAGATCTTAGCGTCTACGTCTAGATCTAGTTATTGCGTAGATTTAGATTTAGTCTAGATCTAGAATCTCTAGATCTAGAATCCAAATACATAAAATAAATTTTATGAGTTTAGGCCGGAAAAATTGTATTGTATACATTTCATAGTGTACGTAGATCTAAATCAAATTTGAATGAAATAGTTCATTTCTTTTTATTCTAAACACGGCAGATGACGTCATTAGTTAATGTATAAGCAATAGTGACGTCACAGTTTTATGCGTTCTTTTTACACATCTATTAATGCTTTTCCGGTTGCATAAATAAAATTGTTTTTCTACATTCGAATACGCCTTTATTTTTTATTTTTCTTCTTTAAATAAAATTGTGGTTATACATTTAAAACATCTAACATATTATTTTCAACAAAAGTCCGTATAAAGTTCTCCATATATCGCTGCCGTTTCTGACGTGATGTCCGGCGAAAATATTTTGCGGACAGACAGAGAGAGAGAGAGGTGCGAACGTGGGGTTTTATAGATTTAGATGTCTCAACAAACTAGGCTATCCGTATGATTAAAAAATATTATCCAATCAGCATCCTTGTTACGTCTACCTTTCGCGATTTTCATCTTAGAATAAGGAAAGACAACAACACTGTTCTAAAAATAAACCATCGAATCAAACCAGCGAAGAGATTTTATCAATTTATTTTCTGAACGTAGTATGTCATAGAAGACACAACGTAGACAGCTGTCTATGTTAGGGGTCATCCATAAAAATGACGTCACGCTTTTTTGACGATTTTTACCTCCCCCCTCCTCCCCCACACAGTGTCACAAAAAGCCGACCCCCACCCCTAAAATGACGTCACAACTCAACCTACAACCCCCCCCCCCCCTCTTAAAATTGCGGTTGAATTTTTCTTAAAACATCGATATTTTTTCTAAAATCGTGTCTGAACTCTGCGTAGCTAGATCTAGATAGAATGTCTATATTAATATTATTATAATAATATAGTTAAAATAATCGAGTAGAGATACAAAGGCCCAGCTGGGTTGATTTTGGTTTATCTTATTTTTGTAAACATTTCTCACGCATTGGACAAACGAGGAACACATCACATTCTAATCTAAATCAAGGGTTTGTGATTTTTAATTTTATTTTTATATCTAGAATCTACTAGAATCTAGAGAGATCTAGATCTAGATCTAGTTGAAGGAGCAAGGCATTTGCCACACAAATTTTGAAATTAAATTTTAAAATTATTATAAAATTAAGGCAACTCACACACGGAACAAAACAAAAAAACAATACAAACAAAAACAACTGTCAACTCAACACTCAGTCTCTAGTCAACTGTGTCTAAAAATGGAGAAGTGCCTGAGTCCACTGCTAGTAGAAGGCCACTAGAAACTCTAGTCTAGTGACTAGTCATCATCATATCTACTTGTGACTCTCTAGTGACGAGTAGTTATTCTAGCAGCATCTTTCTTAGATCTAGATCCTCTAGCTACTGTAGCCCTCTAGCCTAGACTGGTTGGCAGAAGACCAAAAAGTGCAATGACCATAAAAAGGCTTAACATGGGCTGAAATTACCCTTAAGAGCTGTGCAATGGGTTGAAAATACCCTAAAGCCCTAAACAGCTTTCCAATCGGCTCATATTACTCTTTTACTAAAAGACTTTTAGCCTTATTCTTCTAACAAAACTAACCGTATCATGTGGTTGAGCATTTACGCTTTGGGTCAATAGTCAGGGGGATAGAATTTAGTTTATCTAGAACTAGGAAAGAGATCTACCGATCTAGTCTGTCACTGTAAGCAAAGTATAACATCTCTTTGAAAAATATTTTTAATAGCATTCAAATCTACTAGGCCTAATATGTATCATGTTACTCAGGTATAACATTACAGTAACACATATGACAGTATTAGAAGAGTTCATTATTATTTTAAGTTACATTTTGAGCAAATTTGAGTTATTTGCAGAGCATTCTAATAAACCTACTATGTAGCAGTAGTGCCACACTACTACACTATGTAGTAATAAAATATGGCATAAGTAATTTTATGGGTAGGTGAAGATAATCTGAATAATTTAATAAAGGTCAGCTCATATAGTTTACAATGAAATTTGAATTACAATGCAATTATAATGACTACGTAATATTCAATAATAAATTTCGTTTAAACTGTTGCCTGTTATCCTAATTTCCTTTCTTTAAATGTAAGACCATACATACATACATATTTCAGATATTGGATTGATCTATTCATCAGGTTTTAAAAATGCTATGCAAAACTAAAGTAACAGCAGTTTAAAATACCCAGCAATAAATGCAACAGATGGATTAAAGTTGAAAATGAATTTCATTTTACTCAGGACCAGAGGCATAGCAAGGGGGGGGGGTGTGAACCGCACCAGGTGACACCATTTAGGGGGGGTGACACCAAGGCAAAAAATAGCAAAATATATAGAGAAAAACTTGAGGGGGGGGGTGCAAATCAAAAGTTTGAGGGGGAGGGGGTGCAAATCAAAAGTTTGAGGGGGGTGGTGCAAATCGAAAGTTTGAGGGAGGGAGGGGGTGCAAATCAAAACTTTGAAAGTTTGTCCCCGGGCAGGGTTGCTACGCCTCTGGGGGGTGACACCCTTAAGTGCCGCACCGGGTGACACCCAACCTTGCTACGCCTCTGCTCAGGACTCACAAAAATATAAAGAACAAAGAAGCCCTTTTTTTAAAATGTGTAGTTTTTTTTTAGTTAAAGCCCATACTTTTTATTTTTGAACTAATATGATAATAGTAATTTGGGATTGTTTGGTTCTGTGTCAATAAGTGCCATCCATAAAAAACTTAGAGTAAAATAAGATTTCAGACCTAACATATTAAAAAGCAGATGAAATTGAGTTCACCTGAATCTGTCAGTGTGTGCTCAACAAATAAAGAAATAGTCTGGTTTGTTCTGTGTCTACACATCTTACTTTCCCTACCTTAAGTCAGGTGTCCATCATAGCTGGTTGATGTCATATCTTTTTGTAAATTAAAAACAAAACAAAATATTTGAGTGGAATAACATGCATTAAATACAATCTTGCATAGAGTATAGTATCATGTTTTAATCATTTAACAATTTATTTCTTCCAAAATAGGACCCTAATGGAAAACTATGAATAATGCACTTGTGTTATGATCAGATCACAGCACCAACCTAGAGGCCAGTCAGTGGACCAAATAGTTTACTCTGGACTCTTAGTTGTTATAACAGTGAGGAAAAACTAGAAGTGTGTGACTACTCTTAATATTTATGACATGAAAAGTATGTTTTTTTTTGTCTTATCCCTCTAAATGACTAAGCCCCTACCCCTTTTTAAAATGGAAAAGCCTCCACATTGTAATGGTGTTTAACATAGGTGTTATGTTTGGCTTATTGTGAAAAGAATATGCATAGCTGAATATGTTTAGCTCCATAAGTCAGCATTCATGTTTTTGAAGAACATTTTTATTTATATTTCTTGATTATTTCTCAACTTGATTATTTCTGGAAATATTTTCAAAAAAATTATTTAATTATTTGGTTATGGAGCTAAATAATAGAAAAAAACGAGACGCTGATATAGAAGTATTACCAAGTGTTTTAGGGATCAAGCAAGAACTATATGTGGACAACCAGCCAGAAATTTTGAATATAATTTCATCTGAATACATAAAACAAGAGGAGTTTACAGAAACTGATGACACAAAAGCAAATGTATTGTCAACATGTGAAAACAAAAATCATGATTTATTATCAGAATTTACAACACATGTAGACAACAAACCAGATAGACTTGATTTATTTTCAGTTTTTGAAGATATAAAACCTGATGGTTTAAATGCAGGGCTAAGCCTATCACTAGAGACAACTCATACTGACAATATTTCTCAGATAAAGACAGAGATATCAACTGATTTATCAGAGCTTAAGGATATGCTTATAAGCAACATTGAAAATCCAACATCAAATCAGGTTGAATTATTAAAGAAGTGTAAGAAGCAAAACTTAAAATCTTCAAAGCATAAAACTCTTCCAGTTCTAGTAAAATGGAAAGAATCACACACAGATGTGGGGTCATATGAGTGTAATGTGTGTCATAAAAAGTTTGCTACTAGGACATATCTAAAACAACATAATAAAGCAATTCATTTAGGAGAAAGGTTACATGAATGTGGAGTCTGTCATAAAAAATTTACTACAAGAGGTAATCTAAATCAACATATAGCTATTCATTCAGCAGAAAAGAAACATGAGTGTGATTTATGTCATAAAAAATTTGCTTCAAAAAGTCATCTAAATCAACATAAAGCTATTCATTCAGCAGAAAAGAAACATGAGTGTGATTTATGTCATAAAAAATTTGCTTCAAAAAGTCATCTAAATCAACATAAAGCTATTCATTCAGCAGAAAAGAAATATGAGTGTGATGTGTGTCATAAGAAATTTGTTTTAAAGAGTCGTCTAAATCAACATAAAGCTACTCATTCAGCAGAAAAATCACGTGAGTGTGATGTGTGCCATAAAACGTTTACCACCAAGCACTACCTAAATATACATAAAACAATTCATTCACTAAATAAACATAAAGCAATTCATTCAGCGGAAAAGTCTCATGAGTGTGATGTATGTCATAAAAAATTTACAACAAGGGCTTACCTAAATATACATAAAGATATTCATTCAGAGGTATATGAATGTGATGTGTGCCATCAAAAATTTACTACCATTTTAACTCTAATTAAACATAAATCAATTCATTCAGCAGTTAAGTCACACGAGTGTGATGTGTGTCATAAAAAGTGTTCTACCAAGAGTAACCTCAATGTACATAAAACCATTCATTCAGCAGTTAAGTCACACGAGTGTGATGTGTGTCATAAAAAGTGTTCTACCAAGAGTAACCTCAATGTACATAAAACCATTCATTTACCAGAAAAGTTACAAGAGTGTGATGTATGTCATAAAAAATTTGCAAAAAGGGCTACCCTAAATGAACATAAAGCCATTCATTCAGCAGAAAAGAAATATGAGTGTGATGTGTGTCATAAGAAATTTGTTTTAAAGAGTCGTCTAAATCAACATAAAGCTACTCATTCAGCAGAAAAATCACATGAGTGTGATGTGTGCCATAAAAAGTTTACCACCAAGCCCTACCTTAATATACATAAAAAAATTCATTCAGAAGTAAAGCTACATGAATGTGAGGTGTGTTTTAAAAGATTTTCTAGAAAGTCCTCCCTAAAGAAACATGGAGCATTTCATTCAGCGGAAAAGTCTCATGAATGTGATGTATGTCATAAACAATTAGCTTCAAAGAAGTATCGAAATAAACATAAAGCAATTCCTTCACTAAATAAACATAAAGCAATTCATTCAGCGGAAAAGTCTCATGAGTGTGATGTATGTCATAAAAAAATTTACAACAAGGGCTTACCTAAATATACATAAAGATATTCATTCAGAGGTATATGAATGTGATGTGTGCCATCAAAAATTTACTACCATTTTAACTCTCATTAAACATAAATCAATTCATTCAGCAGTTAAGTCACACGAGTGTGATGTGTGTCATAAAAAGTTTGCAAAAAGGGCTACCCTAAATCAACATAAAGCCATTCATTCAGCACGAAAGTTATATGATTGTGATGTGTGCCATAATAAATTTATTGCCAGTTCTTCTCTAATTAAACATAAGGCAATTCATTCAGCACATAAGTCATGATTGTGATGTGTGCCATAAAAATTTACCTACAGGGGTAACCTAAATAAACATAAGACAATTCATTTAGCACAAAAGGTCACATGAGTGTTATGTGTGTCATAAAAGTTTGCTACAAGGATTTACTAAATTACAACATGAAGCTTTTCATTATGAAAAAGCACCAATTGAGTGTGATGTACATCATCAAGGGTTTTCTTGAAATAAAAAACTAAATAGACATAAAAAAATTCATCTCATTGCATGAGTGATTTGTGCTATTAAAAGTTTGCTACAAGGAATAATCTTTATCAACTCAAAGCAAGTTATACAGCAGAGAATGCAAGAGTGTGATTTGTGCCAAAGAAAGTTTCCTTTGATAATGACTCTTAAATGTCATCAATTAATTGATTCAGAAATATGTTAAATTAAACATTTATGAATATAATAAAGTATGTATAAACAAATGAATTCATAAATAGATTAAATTATATTTGTATAGTGTAAAATGCTATTTATGAGGTATACTAAAATTCTGTCCAATTTCAATGAACCTTTCTCTCTCCCCTAGACGTTCACAAAAATTTAGTAGACCTCCCAAAACTTACTACCAATTTACTTTTTTGGACTCCATCTCCGTGTGGATGTCATAAATGGATAACCCCTAAGCAATACAGACAATATGAGTATAAAGTGTTTCATAATAAAGTTTGCTTTTATCAAGCAAATTATTCAAGAGAGGGGTCAAATATATATTCTTTATGTGAAAACAAAAATCTTGATTTCTTCATTTGACCTTAAACTTGAAATAAATGAACAAAAAAAAACCCAGATAAACAATGTGTTTTCTCCATTTTAAAATATAAAACCTGATGTTTTAAAGCAAAAGAGATATTTGACTGCTGTGTGTCTTAGCAAGTTTACTTCAAAAAGTCCTGTAGAAATAATTCATTCAGGAGAGAAGTCATATTTTACTTATTTACAAAAAAATCTGATTTTTTTTTTTGTGCTTCACCATGTCCATTTGAAAAAGATTCCTTCTTATTACTATTAGCATTAGTGAAATTATTAGTGAAATTTGCATGATCTGTGTGTAATATTAATATATTATATATTTATGAATATCATCCATGTTGTGAATGATTTCATTTTTGCAATTTGTTTTAATTTATTCTAGAATTTTTGTTTGCTACTTCCTTTGATAATCTTGTTAAACCTTCATTAAAATCAAAACCATTTACATAATAAAGTTTAATTGTTTTTTTTTCTGAAAAGTTGGTAATTTTGTATGTGTCTGTACTGCAAGTATCAATTTTGTGCCCACCTCCCATTTATTTATATTATAATTATTAATGTTAGTGCAAAAAAACACTTCCCCAGTTTAAAAGGTTGGTGGCGCTTTTTTATCAGTCACTACAGACACACACACACACAAAGACATACTGACAAACAGAGGCGTATCCAGGTTTTCGTTGTAGGGGGAGCGAAAAGATTAAAAAAAAGGCGCCGAATTTTTAACACGTTCTATATATGTGTATTATATATATATATATATATATATATATATATATATATATATATATATATATATATATATATATATATATATATATATAATTACTAGCTGTATGTCATTACTTCGCTATGATGTAAAATAAATTGAAAGTAGCACTCTGAAGAAATAAGAAAAAACACACAATGTAGGCCGACAAAACAAAAATTGTATCAATCTAAAGAAATACATATATACACACACACTACAACCAAAAACAATGAACGTAACACAATCTGTTTTGTAATTCTTGTAAAAAAAATTTCTTACATAATTCCTGGGAAATTATTTAAGACAAGTGAAATAGGGGAAATAATCACTTTCTTAATATAAATATGTATATATCTTGACATTTAATTATAAATGTCAAAACAAAAAAAATAATTACTTTAGAATATAATGAAATTGTTTAACACTATTGCTTGTTTACAAAATGTTTTTGTCTATAATCAGAATTTAATATATCGTCATCATAAATGCTAAAGTATTACAGCATAATGAAAGTTTTTAAAATCAGAGTTGGTGTAAAAACACGCTTTTCGATATATTAGTAAAACATTCGGAATAACAGCCTACATTTAACTAAATAACGGTGTTTTAGTTCAGATAATATATTTTAATTAACTACTGCTTCTTTGAATTTAGAAAAAGCTGCACATTAAGCCTACTACAAATCACTGATCTACGACCAGATCTACAAGCATCTGTTGTATTGATGTAAATACTCTGTTAGGGTAATCATGGAAAAAAATCTCATAGGCGCTGAGCAAAATGTGATTTTACAGTTATTATTTAATAACATTGATACACTAACAACGAACACCTGTATTAGTGGGGATGGTGAAATTGTTTCCTGGATGCTTTAAGATTTGATGTCCCTAAAATTAACAGTGACCTGAAATTATAATCGGACAATGTTGTTCTCAAATTGTTCTTCACGAATTTCATTCTTGAAAATGTTTGTTCACACAGGTATATTGATCCAAAAATTAAAAGGTACCTTGATGGAAAAGTTTTTACATTGGGAAAGTCTTCCTTTATGCAAAAATTTGTAAAAATCCACTAGCCCTTCTTTGAATTTTTCCTTAAGGATGTCATTTGCTTGCAACTAAATTTCAGTAATTTTTTTCCGTAGACAAAAAGTTCTCCACAGGCTGGATGAGAGTGCCTAGCTGGCCATAGTTTGGAGACCTCTGGTCTATTCTAATGACAAACTTCTACATCCGGTAGCACATAGGGCAAATATGTCAGCCATGTCGCTGATAGAAGCCTTCAATGATTCACAGCTTAATGAATACATATATCAACAACAGAAAATTCAAATAATAGCGTCTAATTAGAAGAGGTTCCCCCACCGCCCGGAAATATAAAGTGCCCTCCCCCCACCCCGGAGAAAAAAGTCTGAAACAAACACTGCTAATTAGATTTAGTAGGCTACCACAGGGTGTTGTTGTGGCGATGTTAATAAAAACTAGTTTGCACAGATATATTTTATAACAAAAATTCACAGTTACTGAATTTAAAAAGTCTCATTATTTTAATTATTAAAATATTAGGCCTAATTAATCTTTAAAATTCAATGTTAAAGGTTAGTGTAAGTAAATGTTAGGTCATACCAAGGGTGAGCAAAGTGCGGCCCACGGGCCAGAGTTTTTCGTGGCCCGCCAGACATTTAGAAACCCTGCCTTGAACTGAGATTTGCTTCATGTCCGCTACCAAATTAAGTGAAGCCATGAATCCTCAGAAAAAGCAAAACATTGGTGATGAATCCCTGTGTGTTTAATGAAGAATATACACACAAAAATGTGGGTATAGTTAAGCTTAAAAAAAACAACAAAGTTTCAAGCATAAGACGCAGACAGTGATGTCATTTCATTGCATTTTGCATTAGGAAAGCATGTGTAAAGCTGCACTTGACTTAAAGCATGTGATAGAACCTGTTGTAAGCGTGGTTAACCTGCTTTTAAACAATTGTATTAAATGCAACCAAGCTCATTTACTTAGGCAACCATCTTGTTTAAGTTGTTTTTTTTTTGGTAAAAATATAGTAAGAGATTCAGGTGAAACCACTCTAACTTACAGATTGCCGCTTTTTATATAGTAAATGTTGCTCGCAAACACTGCTGTTCAGTTATCTATAATATTTGACTCAAATATCACACTTTACTTCTATTTAAGCCTTAACAATGAGTCGTTTTTGCACATTATTAGCCTCAGCCAATTTTACACACCTAAAACGATAGATTACCTATTTTTTTTTCCAGCACCATCTATTGATTTGTTTTTTTTTTTATTTTATTTTTTTTTGTTAAGGATTTGTCCCTGACTTGATAATTGATGGTAATTTATTGTTGAATTATGTTAAATCTTGCATAGATTTTAGTACTTTTAAAAAAAATAATATTATTAGCCTAGTAGGAATAGTAGGCCCTAATATTAGATTCTGCGATAATCTATCGCCAATAGATACAAGGCTTGTAATGTGAAAAGAAGGTGCCTAATTAAATGTTGGTAATTATTTCACATTTTTAGGAGGATGTATGTTTTGAAAATTACAAAAATGTTTCCAATTTCCATTATGTACCTGTTTTTAAACAATTGTATTACAACTTTTCAGTAATAAATATAGACTAGCAATGTTTTCATCAGATGCAACTAAAACTCGTTTACTTTGACAGCCATCTTGTTTCAGTTTTTTTTTTTGTTAAACCACTCTAGTTTACAGATGGCCGCTGTCTATAGCAAATCTCTCTCGCAAACACTGCTGTTTTACACAAGCTTTTATTTAACTTACTGTCTCTGTCTGTAAGTTGTCAGTCTGTCTAGATCAAAACGCCCGAGGGAAATTACGGGCACTTCTAACTGACAGATACGGTTCGTAGTTGGTACCTGGGTTTAAGAAGACAATTCAACATACATTAAATTTGACTTAATTGGTTGCCTAATTACTTTTTTTATGAATGAATTAAAATCATGTCCAAATTAGTAGGCTGTCTCATTAAACTAATCCACACTATTATACACGTGTCATCATATTCATTAGGTGCGCAATGGTTTTTAGTTATGCAACTCTATTATATTATTATAAATTTTAAAAATTTAATGTACTGAAAAAGAAATTCATAAAAACGTTTTAATAACAAGCTTTTATGTAATAATGCACTAAAAAGTAGAAAATAAATTATACACTACTATTTAAATAACTATAAAGAAAAGCGTGGATCACTTTAGTATATATTGGATACCTTTACTGATATTTAGGAAGAAACCCACGCTTTTTTAAAA